TTGTGCGTACACAGGCAGGCAAACGTGTATGCACACATACACAGGCACACATGCACACAGACAGGCACACGTGTGCATATGTGCCCATATGTGCACATACACAGGCGGGCACCCGTGCACACACACAGACGGGCACATGTGCACGTACACAGGCAGGCACTCACGCACATGTGCGTGTACACAGGCGGGCACATTTACATGCCAACTGGGAAAGACCTCTGCTTTCAGAGCTGGGTGTCGTCCCCCTCTCAGCCAGAAAAGAAAAGCTTCTCAAGTTGCCCTTCATAGAGACCAACCACTGTGTCCATCCCTAGTAACCTTGTTTTGTTTTGTTTCAGTCATGCTTGAAGATACTCAAGGGTTACTCCTAGTTCTGCACTCAGGAATTACAGGGAACCAGCCATATGGGGTGCCAGGGATCGAGCCTGTGTGCAAGGCATGTGCCTCCCTGCTGCCCAGCCCCAAAACCCTGAAATGTCTTCAAAGAAGAATCGTGGCCTTTGAGTGTTCCTCACTGAGGACCACAGGACCAGCCCCTGCCCTGACCGCCCCCAACTGCTGGGCTTGTTCCACGTCTTGACCTGCTCAGGACAGGTTTTTCTACCCTCCTTTCATCCCTCCTCTCCTCTGTCCCAGTCCAGTCTCAACCCCAGTCTGGAAATGCCTGTCCCGGCCCTTCCCTTGAGCAGTCCTGGACTCACTTTCAGAGAGAAACACAGCTTGGCTCAGCTAGGCTTCCCCTGGGGGTTTGCCGCCGCCGTATCATCATCCGAAAATAAACCTAACACACAAAACCTCAGCTCTCCAGTTTCAGCTATTCCTCCCAGACCAACAGCACAAAGAGAGCATTCAGGCCTGCGTGCTGGAAGAGGCCTTGCAAAGTGATCTGCTCTCGGAGACTGGTGTTCATCTGTGCAGGAGGGGCTCACTCACCATCACACAGGGGCACTAAGGGCCTTGTCTCAAATGGCTTTGTCTTTTTACTTTTTTCCTTCTCTTCTTGCTTTTTCTTGCAGTTCCTGGGTGAACCCAGGTCTCATGCATGCAAGATAGGCTCTTTGCTCTGTCTTGAACCTCAAATCTTTTATCTTAAACCCAATCACCCATGTGCCTGACTCACTTGGGCCTTTGTGCAAAACACTCCAATCATTTCCAGGACCCTACCTGCTCCAGAGTCCTGGAACCACTGTCCTTGGTACACTGGGAACCAAGAGCCCAAAGTCTGTGTTTGCAGAGATGCTGAGGGTGTTTCCCAGAGAGATATAGTCACCAAATGCAGCCTGTGGTGTGGACCTGGCTGAGCCCCTGCCAAGTTTCTCCCAAGCATCAGGCACAGAGCATGAGAGGGTCATGCACATCTGTGTGGCCCCTGGTTTCACAGAGCAGCTGTGGAGAACGTGTCCTTGCGCCCTGACAACACACTTTGGGAGGTGTAGGGCGGAGAGCCTGCCTTCCAGCACTGACACCAAGTCACATGCTGGTGAGGCAACGAGAACAGCCTGCTCCCCAGGTGAATATTGCCAGAACATCTCTGTTCATGGACCATGCGGCAGTGGTGCTCCAGATCCACACGCGGAGGGGTGGGGGGCTCGCTCAGCAGCGCTCAGGGCGTCCTCTGCCTCTGTGTGGAGGGATGATTCCTGGCATCTTGGCAACCGTAGGGAGTGCTGGGGACTGAACTTGGTTCGATCGTGTGTAAGACAAGCATCCTGCCCGCTGTTCTCTTTCTAAAGCTAAGCAGGGTTAGTTCTTATACAAGATGTTTCTATTCTGCCCCTCCAGGAGCCCCCAGGAGTCCTCGTGGTTGCGAATCGCGTGTGAAGCACATGTCTGCCCGGGAGCAGGCTGCCCGGGAACCAGAACACGGAGCTCCAGTGCCTCCTGCAGTTTCCAGAGCAGCCTGGGCAGCCCACACACTTCTCCACTGGTCCTTGAATCATTTTTTCTGGGATTTTATTTTTTTTTGCGGGCAAGTGATGTTCAAGAGACCCCGGGGCACTCCTGAACATACTTGGCTAACCATAAGAGACAGTCCAGTGCTCAGGCCAGCAGCTCTGAGGTCCCCGAAGCCTCCTGGGGGCCAGGGGATGCAGACAGAGCTGGGGATGGAGCTCAGGCTTCACTCATGCAAGCAAAGTGACCTCCTCCCCTGCTACCTCCAGACTCCAGAGGGGTCTCTCAAGTCCGGGAAGTTTCCTTTCTAGAATCCTGATGAAAAATTCAGTTACAGAGGCACTCACATTTCTGATTCCATGTTTTGAGTGTCACATACTCCTTGAACAACAGAGCAAGTGTCCCTGTAGTAGGGCACTGCCCTTTGGGGGCATGTCCCGTCTTCAACAGTGTGCTCAGAGCTGGGGCTGTGGAGCCCACACGAGTCGCAGGCTGACTTAAAATGTTGACTTGAAAAATAGGAACGATAGTACAGAGGGTAGGCCCTTGCCTTGCATGCACCAACCAGAGTTTGATCCCTGGTCTCCCACCTGATCCCCCAAACCCACCAGGAGCGATTCCTAAGGTCAGAGCCAAGAGTAGGCCCTGAGTCCTGCTGGGTCTGACCCCCAAACAAAGTAAAAAGAATAGGCGTCTCATCCCACCTGACACCATACACTCTCCTAACCACCCCCACTCTGGACCCCACGCACTCGGGACCCCACACACTCCCCACCCCCTCCCACTTGCCATCCCCCCCACTGCCCACCCCCCCACTGCCCACCCCGCCATTCCCGCACTGCCCACCTCCCCACTCCCCATCCCACATACTCCCCCCCCCACTCCCCACCCCATCAACGCCCAACACCACTGTAAGTCTCTGCTCTGGGCTGGCCTGGGCCAACCTGCCATGTTTCTGGACCTACTGACAGGGGCTGGGCCAGGGCGGCAAGAAGAGAGACCTGAGGTTCAAGCTCTCTGCATCCATTTCCCTCAGGAAAGAGCAGCACTCCTGCTTCTGCAGTTGTTTGTGGCAGAGGAAACCACCCCCAGACAGACTGGCACCCTTTTCTTTTCTGCTTTCCTGGCTACTCCCAGCTCCACGGTCTGGGGACCGAGTGATGCCGGCACTGAAGCTGGGGCGGGCTCAGCCCCCAGCCCTCCCTGTCAGCACCGTGCTTCCCCCAAGACGCCCACCCAGGGGCCACTGTCTGAAGTGGCCCTGCCAGCCCCTGTCCAAGGGGGCGCGCGGCCCCCACTGCTGGCGGAGCAGCCCTTCGCCCCGCGCAGACACTCGGGGTCAGGAAGCTGCATCTCACGTGTTCCTGCGGGAACCGCTTGTCCCGCCACCTCGCTGTCATTTACTTCGCCGCTGCTCATCGCCTCATTATTCTCTCTTACGGCCCCTGGGATGAACGTGATCAGGTACCTGTGCACAGGTACCTGTGCAGGGCGGGGGTGCTACACGGACACCGTGAAGGCAGGTGTGCAGAGCGGAGGGCACGCAGATGCCCCGCCTTCACCAGAGGCCCAGCCTCGCTGGCAGACAAGGCTGGCACAGCGGGGGCACGCTGCAGAGGGCTTCTGTGGGGGCTGGGGGCACTCGCTGAGCCTCCTGTCTGGCCCGTCCACCCGGGACCACGTGCTGCCAGGGGGGTGTGCGTGGTGCAGGCCGGTGGGGGCGCCACAGCTCGGCTCTGGTTCTGCCCTTCACTCCGCGCCCCTCCCCGCCCCGTGACCTGCTCTACACCCGCCGGAGACTGCAGACCCCACTCCAGAGCCGCACGCCGCCCCTCCCTCTTTCGGCCCTCCAGCTCCTTCGAGCCTCGCGCCCTGAACCCGCCCCCTCTCCCACCCACCCTCCTGCCAGTCCCGCCCATCCGGCCCCGCCCCTCCCTCACCCGCCACGCCCCCGGCTGACACCCCGCCCCTATAGGGCGCTGACCCCGCCCACTGCAGGCCCCGTCCCGCCCGCCGGACCCGGCCCAGCCCCGCCCACCGGCCCGGGCCCGCCTCCGGCCCGGCCCCGCCCCGTTCGCCAGGCCCCGCCCCACCTGGCCAGCCCCAGCCCCGCCCCAGGCCCCGTCACGGCCCCGCCCCGTTCAGCTCACCAGGCCCCGCCCCGCCCACCCCGGCCCGCCCAGCTCGCCAGGCCCCGCCCCACCCGCCCGGCCCCGCCTCCGGGCCGGCCCCGCCCCGTTCACCAGGCCCCGCCCCACCTGGCCAGCACGGGCCCCGCCCCCCAGGCCACGTCAGGCCCCGCCCCGCCCTCCGGCCCCGCCCAGCGCGCCAGGCCCCGCCCCGCCCACCGGCCCTGGCCCCGCCCGCCAGGCCCCGTCCCGTCCCCGTCCCGCCTCCGCCCCGCCCCACTCGCCAGGCCCCGCCCCGCCTCTCGGCCCCGCCCCATCCTCCAGGCCCCGCCCCACCCGACAGGCCCCGTCCCGGCTTCGGCCTCGCCCCGCTTCGGCCCCGCCTCCGGCCCCGCCCCGTTTCGCGGGCCCCTCCCCGCCCCGCCCCCTGGCCCCGCCTCAGGCCTCCGACCGCTCGCCAGGCGCGGCCCCGCCCCGCCCGCCTGGCCCCGCCCCGCCTTCCAGGCTCCGCCCCGCCCGCCAGGCTCCGCCCCGCCCGCCAGGCCCCGGCCCCGCCTCAGGCCCCGCCCGCTCGCCAGGCGCGGTCCCGCCCCCGCCCGCCAGGCCCCGCCCCGCCCGCCAGGCTCCGCCCCGCCCGCCAGGCCCCGTCCCGTCCCCGTCCCGCCTCCGCCCCGCCCCACTCGCCAGGCCCCGCCCCGCCTCTCGGCCCCGCCCCATCCTCCAGGCCCCGCCCCACCCGACAGGCCCCGTCCCGGCTCCGGCCTCGCCCCGCTCCGGCCCCGCCTCCGGCCCCGCCCCGTTCCGCGGGCCCCTCCCCGCCCCGCCCGCCTGGCCCCGCCCCGCCCGCCAGGCCCCGCCCCGCCCGCCAGGCCCCGCCCCGCCCGCCAGGCCCCGGCCGGCCCGGCCCGGCCCGGCCCCGCCCCCACCTGCGCGGCGCTGTTATGGAGACGGAGCGCGGGGCCGGCGGCGCGCGGCGGTGATGATGGGGCCATGGCCCGGGCGGGCGGCTGCGGCGCGGCCGCGGCGGGGGCGCGGGCGGGGGGCGCGGGCGGGCCGGAGCCGGCGGAGCTGTCCCTGGAGGCGGTGCTGAAGGCGTACGAGCAGCCCATCAACGAGGAGCAGGCGTGGGCCGTGTGCTTCCAGGGCTGCCGCGGGCTGCGGGGCGCGCCGGGCGCCGGGCGGCTCATCCGGGACACGGCGGACCTCGTGCTGCGCAGGGACGGCTCGGTGGGCGCCCGGCCGGGGCCCGGGCCCGGGGCCGCGGGCGCGGCGGGTGAGCGGCCGGCGCGGGCGGGCGGGCGGGCGGGCGGGGACCCCACCCTCCGCGCGGGCCCGGGCGGGTGTGGAGTCGGGGCTGCTGCGCCTGGCTCAGGCCTGGAGGGCGCGCGCCGCGGCGACCGGCCCCGGGGCCGCTGCGCCCCCCACCCCGGGGGCCGCTGCGCCCCACCCCCACCCCGGGGCCGGCGGCCTGGTGCGGCCCTGCGCGGCGGGCGGAGGCTGCCCCGGCTCGCGCCTCCCCCTCGCGGCCGCTCCCCCGGCTGCGTTCGCACGGAGGCGCCGGTGTCCCGGTCCGGCCGGGGAAGGAGCGAGCGCTGGGGCCTGCGAGGTTCGGCTCTCCCGGCCGCATCTTCCGCTCTGGAGAGCTAGCTCGGCCCGGTGCTGCCGGCCGGAGCAGGGCTGGCTCCATCTGCCCGGCCGGCCGCGGCCCACCCAGCTGCAGCCACAGGCTCACCCCAGGCTGGGGTCAAAGCTCTCTCTGAGTCACCTGCTGTCACCTGCCCGCGAGGAGCCAGCTGTGACGGAAATCAGCCCCGTTTTCTGTCCCTTGCTCTCTTAAACGTGCCCTGGGAAGCAAGCGGTGGGACTTGCTGCCTCTTTAAAGATTAAGGGAAGTAGATTCTGGAACTTTCCTCTGTGCCCTTGTTGAACTTCTGTGAATCAGCTGTAATTCGGACCGGCCTCCTCCCTCTTGCCAAGCCCAGCCCTGCGTGTCTCTGGGACTTGGTTGCTTGGGAAGTTGCTGAGAGGTGCATCTTGATTTCTTGCGGTAAATAGAAAGCAGGCCCCACCCCCTCCTTTGCAGTCTCATAAATTTAGGTAGTAAGCAAATGTTTAAGGTGACTGTATTTTGGGGGTAGGGAAGGTGCTCAGGTCTTACTCCTGACCCTGTGCTCGGGGACCGTACCTGGTGCCAAGGGGTGGGCGAGGCAAGCACCCTACCTACTGTGCTTTGTGCTGTTGCTCTGGCCCCTAAGATGACGTTTTGAAGAAGCAGGACCACAAGTCACGCTTGGGAATGAATGATTTTATCTGAGCATACACACCATCTGGGGCTGGCCGTAACATGCCCCATAAGCTATGCTGAGGCTTCTCCACGGTTACAAAGGGGGACAGGTGAAGTTACTTCTAAGCCTGTTAAGACAATCGCCAGGTGGGAAAGGGAGGGTGGAGAGAGAGCTCAGTGGACTGAGCTTTGCCTGTGGGCACCACACGTTCCCCTGAGCACAGGGCAGGGGTGACTGCAGACCACCCCTGGATGTGCCCTGCCCGCACCGCCCCCCGGTTTATTTTTAAAACTGCTGAGGTAAGAAGTGCATTTGGCCTCTCCTCACATGCACTTCCTTAGATGCTCTTGGCTGATCAGCTGGCGTGGTTGTGCCCAGGAGCCTCCTGTGGTCTTGGTCCCTGGGCTGCCTGTGTGGCGTGGCTGGGCACCCCCACGCAGTGTCTGCCTCTGCTCTGGCTACTTCTCTAGGGATGCCACGAGGTGACGCTTGTCCCTCCTCGCCCCTCCTGCTCCTTTTCCTCTGCCTGACTTTTTGAGGTTACCCCTGAACAGGGATGGGTGTCATGTGCCGTGACACCCCCACTCGCCATCCTTGGGATACTGATGTGGTCCCGAAGTCTTTTTCCACTTTCACCTGCGTCCCGGTAGAGAGAAAGAGCTGCAGAGCAGCCTCCCAGATCAGGGAGACGGCTCCAGGCCTGGCCTCCGGGGCAGCTGTGCCCACTCTTTTGCCCTGTATGGTGAGGGCTGGCCAGCGTGCTGGAGCAGCTGTGCCATTTAGTACTGTCCCTGGAGGCCTCTCCTGTTACGCAGGCCACGTGCCCTGGTGCTGGGCACACGGTGGACTAGTGGGCTATGCAGGCCTGTCCTAAGTGACCAGGAACAGCCTCTGTGACTTGTCTGTGTCCCTCATCTCATTGGTTCGTTTTGGGGTCACACGTGGCAGTGCTTGGGGACAACTCCTGGCTTGATGCTCAGTGTCACCCAGTGCTCAGGGTCTGTCTGAGGTGACTCCGTGGGAGGCACGTCCCTTGGCCCTGTATGGTCTCAGCCCCCGGATCTGTTGTTTATAGGGGCCACATCTGGTGGTGCTTGAGGACATGTGTGGCCAGAGGTGCAGCTCAGAGTTGAACCTGCCTTTTACTTACTTGCTTACTTATTTGGGGTTTGGGGCCACTCCTGGCTCTGCAGGTGGTGCTTGGGGGTCCGAATGGGTGCCGGGGATCAAACCAGGGTCAGCCATGTGCAAAGCAAATGCCCTCCCTGCCGTACTGTCTCACTGTGCCCATTGGTGAAATTTTAAAAGTAGATTTTTAAAAGAAGTCATTCAGGATGTCCTCTTCCCTTCCCTTGCTGCTGAGTGCCAGGCCAGATGGGCTGTGGTGTGCTGGGGAGCGTACCCCTCGGTGGGCTGAGGGGCGCAGGACACCTCTGTCAGCACCCCTATCTCTCAGGCTGCAAACGTGGGCTGTGCCCAGAACCAAGCCCAAGGCCTTCTGCTCTGCGGCAGGGCCTATGTCCCGGCCATGACTAGTGGCCAGAATGGGAATTGTATATGGGATTGGAGCATGGTCCCCAGAGAGAGTTGGCAGGACTTGCCCGAGCATGGCTCAGAACCAACATGGATTGATCAGTTGCTCCTGCCCGGCACAAGTGATGGGCTGCTTCTTCCTGTGTCCGTCGTCCCATTTCTGTGGCAGAAACTCTTTGATGGAACTCACCTGCAGCTCCTGGATTCCCCCTCCCCTCCATGGACCCTGTCCAGGGACCCTGGCACCCAGCGCAGCCCCGGGTGGAGAGGGAACCCCTTTGCTTCCCCGAGGGAGAGGAAAGAGTTGAGGGTCATGATACCCAGCACCGTCGGGGGAGATAGGGGCTGGGGGTTCCTGGAGGTGCCCGACCTTACTCCCTGCACCTGTCTCTGAAGTGGGGACAACCTCACAGGTTGGTGGAGTTTCTGTGACTCATGACCAAGCTCCCGCTGGGGAGACCATGGGGGGCTGTGCCCACCCCTGGAGAACCTGCCAGCTGAGGCCTCGGAGACCTCAGGCTCCTGCCACGAGCCTCAGCAGGTTTGTGGGTGCATCTGGACAGTTGCCCCAGGGCCCCTGGCGTTGCGAGCAGGCAGGAGTCTTTGGGGTGAGCCCTTGAGCCAGTGATCTATGGAGGGCAGTTTGCTCTGACCCAGGCTCACCCCGACTCCTCCTTTTGGCGGGCTGCACACGCAGGCCCGTGGGTCCCTTTCAGCAAAGATTCCAGGGCCTTGCACTGCCCCGGCCGCTCCTCAGCGAGCCTGAGTGGTGGGTGAGGCCCATCAAGGCAGCAGCTGTGGGACTGGGCAGGTGGGGACCGCCTGTGCCGGCTCTGGGTCCCACTGTGCCACCAAGCGTGGCTGTGGCCAGTACAGTCGGACAACTGGGCCTGCACCTGCTCTGGCCAGGCCTGGACTTCGTGTGCTGCTGCCCTGAGGAAGGGGTGCCCAGCCCCTTGTGGACCCCTGCTGGCTGACTTGTAGCTCAGGATCAGGCTAGGGGTGAAGTCTGGCATGGGCAAACCCCACCCTCTCTGGAGCCCACTGAGACCACAGGGAACAGTCACACGAACCCCAAGATGCCTAGTTTGCTGTGGCTGGCCCGTGTGTGGGGGCATCTCCTTTGGGACATGGGCAGCACGTAGAAGGCTGGGGGTCTTCTTGGGATGACCTAGGACCTGCTGGCACCTGGACATACCTGCTTGTCCATCTCTGATCGGGTGGCGTAGGGCCCTGGCCCCAACTCTGGGGCTATGTGTTCATGGAGAAGACTTCGCCCAGCAGAAGAGGGCCAAGAGTTGCGAGCCACCACACACAAGCCCCTCTGCACCTCTGCTGCTGGGCCCCCTGCTCTCACCTCCCACCCCTCATTCCCCAGCTTCTCTCTGCACAACTGCTGGACCTGGCATATTCCTCAGTTTAAGCAGTAAAGTCTGTTTCTCAGCAACAGATCCAGTCTCCACTGCCAGTTCAGGATGGGGCATGAGCAGCCATGGCCTCTGTGGTCTCTCCAGCAGCCTGTGTGGGCGTTCTGAGCATTCTGGCAGTTGGTGCTCTTGGCCAACAGGCTGATATGATTCCAAAGTCTGTGTTTGCTTGCTCCTGCCCTCAATCCTAATGCTCTTTTTTTTTGGTCACACCCAGCAGTGCTTAGAGGTTATTCCTGGGTCCGTGCTCAGGGATCAGCCCCGGGCAGCTCAGATAACCATATGGGATACCAGGGATTGATCCCAGGTTGGCTGTGTGCAAGGCTAATGCCTTACCCACTGTGCTGTCTCTCTGGCCTTTCAATCTTCCCTGTTTCGTTAGATTTGGGACCATACCCAGTAGTGCTCAGGGCTTACTCTGGCTTTGTGCTTAGGGATCTTCTGTAGTAGGGTGACTGTATCTGGAGCTAGAGAATGAACCAGGGTCTGCCCCAGGAGTGCTGTTAGACCCGTTCACTGTCTCCCCAACCCCTCCATACTGAATTGTGATGAAAACCAAGGAGTGTCTGGCTCTCTCTCCCACAACCACACACAGACGGACACTGCAAGACACTTCACATTCATGCATGATGCACACGGCGCATGACATGCACACATGGACACACCGATGCTGCACACACACACAGTTTATACTCTACACACCACATGTGCACAAATACAAACACTGGCATGTGCATACACTATACATGTGTGGCACACAAGCACATGCACACAGCCCCAAACACATGTACATACACCTGTTAATACACCTACACACAGTGTGCTGTGTAAGCAGACACATGTACAATCCAGAATGTATATGCACACATTTGTGTGCACCAGCCAGTGTGTGTAATGGACATGCTCACATACGCACACACAGCCCTTAATTTTTTGAGCCACACCTGTCAGTGCTCAGAGGTTACTCTTGGCTCTTAACTCAGGAACCACTCCTAGCAGTGCTCAGGGGGATGCCTGGAATCGAACTCGGTCCTGTGCTTTCAAGGCAAGTGCCCTACTCACTGTATTGTCTTTCCAGCTCTGCCTTACTTTTGTTTGTGTTTTTTTGGACCACACCCGGCAATGCTCAGGGGTTACTCCTGGCTCTGCACTCAGGAATTACTCCTGATGGTGCCTAGGGGAACCATATGGGATGCCAGGGATCAAACTGGCACATGCCCTGCCCGCTGTACTGTTGCTCTGGACTCATCTTAATTTCTTGACTCTAATACTCCCCACACTGCAAGCCCATGTGTAAAGCAGAATGGTTGTGTTTAGGGGCATATTCAGGAAGTACATGCAGTGTGTACTGGGTATGTCAGGTGTGCGCAGGGGTACATGTATGGGTGGTGCATGCACGGAGCTAGTGTGCATAGGGACATGGGAGTGTCGGCTGTGTGCAGGGGTGTGGATGTCGGTTCATGCAGAAGTGTGGGTGTGGCAGGGGTGCATGCGTGTGCAGGGAGGTGGGTGTCTGCACCAGGACAGACCTCCCCACTTCCCCATTCTGCCTCTAATCACATGTCCAGTCCAGGGGTCCTCTGGGGGCTCTGTTGGCTGCTGCTGTTTGTGGGAGCTCATGCAAGTGAGCTGTTCTGTTCTGTGAGCCACCATTCTGTTCTCTATTGGTGGCTTCTGGATTTTCAGTAGATTGGAGTGCTGGTGCGGATGTGTCAGGTGCTGGTGGGGCTGTCGGGTGCTGGTGGGACTGTGTCAGGGTGCAGTTAGACTGGGCCCAGGGGGCTATGTTAAGAGTACTTCTGCGTGCACTTAGTCCCTGTTTTCTCCCACTTCAGAGTCTGCAACAATGGTGGGGTCACCAGCCAGCTCAGAAGCCCAGGTACGTGTGTTTAGTTTACTAATTTGGAGGGATTTGGGCCACACCTCCCAGCCTCTGAACCCTTCCCCTCCCCAAGATCCTGCTTGCCCGAGGGAGGGTGTCTGCTCTTCTGCTCCCTGGACAGAGGGCATGGGGAGGGAGGGGCCAGCAATTACTGGAAGATCAGGCCAATCTCTGAGGTGTCTTGCTGTCTGCCACTGCCTCCTTGTGTAGGCTCAGATACCGTGAACTCCAGCAAGTCATACTCAGCCGCTCAACTGTCTTCCAGCACCCTCACTCCAGCCACCCCAAATCGTGTCCCCGTAACCCTGTAGTTATGGGGTCTGAGCTGGGAAGTAGCTGAAGTTTCTTTTTTGTTTTGTTTTGGGGATACACCCAGTGATGCTCAGGGCTTACTCCCGACTCTGCACTCAGCAATCACTCCCAGAGGTGCTCGGGGGACCATATGGGATGCTGGGAATAGAACCCTTGGTTGGCCGCATGTAAGGCAAGTGCCCTCCCTGCTGTCCCTTTGCTCCGGTCCCCAGTAACTGGAGTTCCTGAGGCTGTCTCCTGGCCCAGATTCTGCTTACGGGAAGGCTCGTGCTCTTTACCTTTCAGGGAAAATTTCCAGAACCTCTGGCTGGGCACAGAGGAGCTTTAAACAGTAGCATCAGATAAGCACTCACTTCAAGTTAACCCTTCCTGTGGCATACTGCTTTCCGAATGAGTGGGTCAACACTGGGGTGATGGGCATTGAGTGGGGGGAACGGGACCAGGCCTAGAGAGGTGAGAAGTAGCAGAAGCTCATTCCCTGCGCCATCTACTTAGCGCCTACCTCAGCCCTAGGAAAAGGTTCAGTTGGGGTTACCAGGGATAGGCCAGTTGTCCTCAGACACAGGACACCCTCTGGGGACCCATTGTTCATGGCTTGTCCACCTGTCGGCTGAGCCTCCCTTGGGTCTTTGTACCTGAGCACTAGTGGCAGTGTCCCCCCATGCAGGGAGACAGACTCTGCCTCGCAGGCCCTCCCGGACCCCAGCTGACTCCACCCGCCTCTCCAGGCTCAGTTCCAGAAGAGCTGCTCCAGCCGATGCAGCCGCTCACCCCAGGTTCCTCTCCTCTGCCCAGGTGGGAGCAGGAACCTGGTCCTTTCTGCTTAATATACTGCGAGGGGCCATGGAGAAGCACAGAGCAAGGCACTTGCTTGTCACATACTGACCCCAGCTTGTCCCTGGCACCACCTGTGGCCTCCCAACCCTACCAAGCCTTCTCACTGGGCACACTTAGTTTTTTCCTGGTTAAGTTTGCATATGTCGAAGTTAACATGCAGTTTAAAATATTTAAGTGAGGTGCTGGGATGTCGCTCACTGGTAGACATGCCATTTGTGGAGCTCCTGGGTTTGGTCCCAGCACCATATGAAGAAATATGAGGGTGTCACTCCGTATGAATTCAAGTGCTTCGTGATAGATACTCCAGCAATTATTCTGGCAGCTTTTACTGGATATGCTGGTCTGTGATTTGAGACCTGCTCTTAAATTCTGTTAAAAGCTAAAATTAGGTAGGTTGTGTCTCTCAAGTTTCTGGGGCACACTTCATAAACACGTACACCATGTATCGACACTACAGTCAAGAATGCAGGCATTGGGGCTGGAGAGAGAGGCCAGCCGGCCTTGGCGCTTGGCCTTACTTGTGGCTGACTTGGATTTGATCCCCAGCGCGTAAGGTCCCCTGGAACCCCGCTAGGAGCGATCCTGGAGTGCAGAGCCAGAAATCAGCCTTGCGCACTGCCAGGTGTGACCCTAAGTCAACAAAAAGAACGCAGGCCTTTGCAGAGCCCTGCCCACCCAGATGGATCCAGCCTGACTCCCTCCAGCTGCTGACCCGTGCTCTTGGCAGCACCTGCTTGTCCGCCCTGGTGTCCTGCTCTGGGGCTTCTGTTTGTGTCTCACCTGAGCGTGACTCAGTGGTCGGTGTCCCCGTCCTGCAGATGGTGCAGTCCCTGGGCTTCGCCATCTACCGAGCGTTGGACTGGGGGCTGGATGAGAGCGAGGAGCGAGAGCTGAGCCCGCAGCTGGAGCGGCTCATCGACCTCATGGCCAACAATGACTGCGAGGACGCGGATGGTGGTGGCGGCGCTGATGAAGGTTACGGCGGCCCTGAGGAGGAGGACGAGGGGCCCGAGGGCCCACGCACCGTGCGCACTTTCGCGCAGGCCATGCGGCTGTGTGCCCTGCGCCTCACCGACCCCCGTGGTGCACAGAGCCATTACCAGGCCGTGTGCCGCGCACTCTTCGTGGAGACGCTGGAGCTGCAGGCCTTTCTGGCCAGGGTCCATGAGGCCAAGGAGGTGAGGGCCGGCACCTGCTCTGGGAAATCGGTGCCAGAAGGGGCCCCAGCAGCAGGGCTGGGGCCCTTGTGGAGGCCAAGCTGACCCCTGCTCCCGCAGAGGAGCCAGTGGGCTGCGTGCAGCTGTCTGGCATCCACCCAGAGCCTCCCCCTTCAGGGCCTGGCTCTCCCCACAGACACACGTGACCCACCTTGACCTTCCTCCTTCTCAGGACCCAGGAGCAGTTCAGAGATGTGGTGGGCAGGAGGGTCTGCACGGGGGGCGGGGGGAGGTGGGGGAGCACAGCAGAGCCCCTCCCTGTGCCCGCGTTTCTTGTGTGTCCTACAGCAGTTTGGTGGATGACTGGGTAAAAGATTCCTGGTTGTCTTGGCTGCGGGGTGTTAAAGGACAGAGGCTTGTCCAGGCTGGGAGGGGTTGTGCGAGCCGCTTGCCTGCTGCCGTGGTCCAAGGAAACAGCAACAGAATCTAACAGCTTCTTCCCAGGTTCTTAGCATAGAAGTTCCTCATGTTCTGATATCCTTCTTGGATGTATCTTAATGACCTTTTCCCAGACCCAAAATACATACCTGAGGCTATACCCAGGATTGTGTGGTGACACCGTCTCACGCACCCATCTGTCCACTTATCTGTAGCCTTGACCATTTATCAAACCCTCCATCCACCCCGCTGTGCTCCCATACATCCATTATCCATCTGTCCATCTACCCACTATCCATCCACCATTCATCCATTTACCATGTAACATTTAAGACCTAGGCTGTGCCATGCTGTGCCAGGAGCCAGAAATACTGAAGTGAGGAAAGGCAAGTACAGAAAACATTCTGAGAAATGCAGACTCCTGCTGGCTCATGCATGCAGAAGCAGCTCTGGCCGTTCTGAGAAGGCTAGCTGTGACCTGGGTAGAGAGGGTGAGAGAGATCTGAGCAGCAGTGCTCCGAGCTGGGAGTTCTCCACACGAGGATGAGGCTTCTGGGCCCACAGATGCTCTTGCGTGAGCAGTGTCTCAGGGAGAGGTGCAGTGTTGGGGAACAGTTTTCCCCCAATGTGCCTGGACATGCTGTGCACCGGGTCCAGGCAGACCTGGGGTGAAGGCTGATGGGCGCGCAGAGAAACACCCTCTGGGAGCAGCTGATGACTGTACACTTTATTATCAAATACACACATATCCTATAGGGGGTCTCAGCTTACAAGAAAGTCCAATCACATGAAGTTTAGCATTATTGGCCTGTCACCACTCCAACTCTGCTCTGCCCCGGTCCAATCCCAATCAAGGCTAGATGCTGCCGACAGGATGACTTGCTAAGCATCTGTGACAGTTTCTGTGTCTAGGACTCATGTGATCAGGAGGTCAAGCGAGGCTCAAGGCTGAACACCTGGTGCTGGCTGACGCCCTGTTCTGGCCAACTCTGCCAAGATGCTCCCTCTTGTGAGGTTTTGCTTCTGGGCCATTTGACAAGGTCACGTCTTCTCTGCACCACTGTTTGTCACCATGCTCCACAGTGCCGTATGTCTCCGGGGTGCAGTATGTGTCTCAGAGAGAGATGCAGTGTGTGTCTCAGGGGGCAGTATGTATTATCTGTGTGTCTCAGTCAGGGGTACAGTGTGTTTCTCAGAGGTGCAGTGTTTATCTCAGTCAGGGGTACAGTGTGTGTCTCAGAGGTGCCGTGTTTATCTCAGTCAGAGGTGCAGTGTGTCCCTAGGGCCTGTGGGATGGGTGAAAAGACATGGTTTCCATTGCATATAGAAGTTTCTCTGTGGGAGTTATCTCTGACTGCCCTGTCCTGGGAGAAGCTGTTAGAGCTGCAGTGTCCAAGCTGATGACTTGGCTTCCCCAGATGTACTTCTGAGCCCCAGGGCCTTGGCTCAGTTGAAGGGGAACCTATGAGGGAAGGACTTGGGCCATACACTCACTGCTCCTTCCTCTACTTTGACAGATGCTACGGAAGCTTCGGGAAGAGGAGCCCCAGGCAGAGAAACCCCTGGCAGAGCTTGATCACCTGGGGCACACCGACTGGGTGAGGGAGCAACCCCCGCTGGGACGCATGCAGGGCACGTGTCTGTCTGAGGGGCTAAGGCCATTTTCATCTTCTCTGGCCCAGACCCGCCTCTGGGTCCAGCTCATGCGGGAACTTCGCCATGGAGTGAAGCTCAAGAAGGTGCAGGAGCAGGAGTTCAACCCTCTGCCCACTGAGTTCCAGCTCACCCCCTTCGAGATGCTGATGCAGGACATCCGGGCTAGAAACTACAAGCTGCGCCAGGTCATGGTGAGCTGGGGGGACCCTGTGCAGGTCACGTTGAGTGAGGGGAAGCTTGTCCAGGTCACAGTGAAGGGGGGAACCTGTCAGTACCCCCCTGGCTTTCTCCAGAGGCTCTGCAGTTCCTGCTCTTTAGCCTGTATCTGAACACAGGCCCTGCTAACGGGCTTGGGGGGCTGGGGGGGGGCGCAGCACAGATCCTGGTAAGGGAGAGGGATCTGGAGGGTCCCGGAGAATGAGCAGGAGCCGAGGTCTTGGTGCTTGCTGAGCCCTGTGGCCCTGGCCATGTGGTAGCAGTGCTTCAGAATGTCATTGAGGGCTGGGGAGATTATTCCAGGGCAGAGCACACGCTCTGGATGCAGATGATCCCTGGCACTGAGAGTTCCCTGAGAAGGACAGAGCCACAAACAGCTTCTGTTACACTAATGTGGCCCCCAAGCAAACAAGAATTGATCCCCTTTTCCATGTGAAAATTGAAGATGCAGCTAATGGCGGCGTGAAGCCATGGAGGCCTCTGCTGGGCCAGCCCCCATGGCCTCAATTTTGGCTGCCCATACCCCCACAGGTCAATGGGGACATCCCTCCCCGAGTGAAGAAGGATGCACACGAGCTCATTCTGGACTTCATCCGTTCCCGGCCCCCTCTAAAACAGGTACCTGGCCTCTGCCCAAAGTGCTCACTAGGAGGGTCAAAGGTCAGCTCCTGGGTTATCCCTTTGCAGTGCTAGATCCTGGGGGTCCCTGCCTGTTATATGCAGGTCTCAGAGAGAAGGCTGCGCCCCCTGCCCCAGAAGCAGCGGAGCCTGCATGAGAAGATCCTGGAAGAGATCAAGCAGGAGCGGCGGCTGCGCCCTGTGGGGGCTCGGGGTGAGCACCCCCGAGTCCCGAGCCCTCCTCTGGGCCCTGCCCAAAACAGCTGCTCATCCTCTGCCTTCCTCCCAGTCCCCTGGTGCCCTCCTCCCCAGCTCTGTCCTCCTGGGGACCTTTGCCTGCCCCCACTTCCCCTGGAGCCCCTCATCTCCCTCTCCCCCCTCCAGGGCTCTGTCCCCTGTCCCCTCTCCCCACTTTCTGCCCCACCGCTCTCTCAGGGTTTGGCTCCTTGCCCTGCATCCTCAACGCCTGCTCTGGGGATCTCAAGGCCACCTCCTGCATCAACCTCTCGGTTCCGGATGCTGCGGGCAGCACCCTGCGCCCTCGGCCCCGGGTGCTACTGAAGGCGCCCACCTTGGCTGAAATGGAGGAGATGAACACATCTGAGGTCAGAGCCAGGAAGGGGGAACTGAGCAAAGCCAGCGCCAGGCTCTGATGCTGGAGCATTGAGTCCTGCTGCTCCCTAGGGCGCCAGCATGGCAAGGCGGCCCCAGGCCACCTCTCCTCACCACAGGGACCGATGCAAGGGCGGGCTAAGAGAGCAGAGCCTGGTGGTGGACAGGCCACAGGGCCCTGTACCCTCTCTGCCCAGGAGACCAGGGTGGCAGCCACATAGACTGGCCTCTGGGGATGCTTTGGAGGCCTGGGAGGCATAACCCCCCACTGTGCCGTGGCAAGGGCACAGGGTGGGCAGTCAGGCAGGGCCTACTGTGTCCACAGGAGGAGGACTCTCCATGTACAGAAGGCACCCTAAAGCGTGACCGCTCTTTCTCGGAGCATGACCTGGCTCAGCTTCGCACTGAACTAGCCTCTGGCCATCAGCTGGACACTCAGCCTGCAGGAGCCCTGCAGCCATCGAGGCCCCGTGCAGGCAGTGCACACAGCTGGAGGCCAAGCACCCAGGAGCATGGCAAGTGCCACCTGCCCGCCCGCCCCCTGCTTACATTGAGGCCCATTCTCACCTCAGGCAGCAGCCCCAGTGGTCTTGGGGAGGGGGGTGCTGGGCCACACTTGCTGGTGCTCAGGGATTACTCTTGGCTCTGTGCTTCAGGGCAACTCCTGGTGGGGTCTGGGGGACCTTGTGTTATCGGGTGAAATGGGGCTTGGCTGTGTACAAGGCAAAAGGCTCAACTCTGCTGTCTCTCCAGTCCCTTTATTTGAACTTTAAAATACATTTTTATTGATTTGCTTCTGGGTTTTGGGCATACCCTGTGATGCTCAGGGTTTGCTCCGAGCTCTGGACTCAGGAATCCCATGTTAGTGCATGGGACTTTATGGCATACTGGGGATCAAACCTAGGTTGGCTGTATGCTGATAAGGCAGGTACCTGCTGTACTATTTCTGTGGCCCAAAAACTCTTAAAAATTTTAAGTTAAAGGTGCTGGAGAATTAGGACACTGGTTAAGGCACTTCAGGAGGGATCCCTGTGTGCAAAGCTAGAATTAAACCCTGAGTATTGTCGGGTATGACCCCCAAACCAAAATAATTAAATTAAAAAATTAAAAAATTATTGACCCAGGGGCTGGAGCTATAGCATAGTGGGTAAGGCGTTTGTCTTGTACGTGGCCGACCTGGGTTTGAGTCCCAGCATCCCATATGGTCCCCCAAGCACCACCAGGAGTAATTCCTGAGTGCATGAGCCAGGAGTAAACCTTGTGCAATACTGGGTGTGACCCGAAAAAAAAAATTAGTGATCCATATTCAGTGCAAAACTTTAAAAAAAAACTTACAAATATTCCTGGATTCAGGGAGATAGAGTTCAGAGGGCTGGAGATATAGTTCAGACCCCGAGTTCCATCCTTAATTCCACGTGGCTCCCTTGGTTCAAGTACTATTGGGAGTGACCCCTGAGCACCACAGGCCTGCCCCCACCCTAAAGGGAAAAATTCCCATAGCTCTATTACCTAGAGACAATTGCTACTGACACACTGGCCTGTAGAAATAAGATTAGCCAGATGGAAGGATGGCAGAAGAGTCGATGAGCAAGAGTATGAGATATAGATGGATGGATGGATGGACAGACTGAATTCTGCCCATTGACAGTATCCAGAGTGTTGTACAGGTAGATCCAGAACCTGCCTTGACACCTAGCCCTCAAAGGCCTCCTGTCCCATCAGCAGCAAAGGGCAGGACACACACTGATCACACAGAACTAGTTCCTGCCACCTCTCAGGGCCTCTCCCTGGGCAGATCAGGCCCTTCTTTACCCTCAAGATTACCTTGAGCAGCCCTGTCCCTTCAGGATAGTCCCTGGTCAAGACTCACTTTGTACTGTGACGAGGTCCTGTCTCCCCAGACTGTCCCCAGACTCAGAGACCCCAGCCCTGTCTCCAGGGTTGGGTGGTGCCCAGATCAGCCCTGCTGCTGCCCTCCCCCCCTTACCCCCATCCCTGTAGGTCCCTGCCCGATTCCTGACTTCATATTCCTCCTCCAGGGCTGAGCGGGCAACCCCTGCCCGACCCCAGCTCCTGGCCACACAGCCACCAGGGCGCCGTCTGCACAGCCCCAGATGCCAGTCACCGGTGGCTGGTGAGTGGCAGAGGGATGTTACCTATCTGGGGTCACCCTAGGGTGTGGTGCCATAGAGAGGTTGTGTCCACCCTCCTGGTCTCAACCCCAGGCGTGGGGCAGCTAGAACCTGGTAAACTATCATCTCGGGACACTGCTCTCTACTGCCACCCTCTGGGCCCCGTAGCTCCAGGTCTGAAAGGGCAGGTTCCTGCCTTTGGGTGTGGCTTGGGAACCAGGGACTCTTGATACTGCTGGCTCTGCTTGGGGTTTCTGCCCTCTTCCGGGAAGGGGAAGTGTTTCCTACCAGGCAGTGTCATGGAGCCATATGTGATGTTGAGCTAGATGAACCCAGCTCAGCAGGATGCAGGGCAAGCCCCTCAGCTCTGTACTCTCTCCTGCCCCCTTAGCAGTGGGGAATTGCCTCTGATTTGCCAGTCTGAACCCCACTCGCCCCTGACCTTTGAGCGGGATTAGTGCAGGTGCCTGTGGCTGAGGGGTGCATGGATGTCCGAGAGGCTCCGAGGGTGGAGTGTGCTGTTGCCAGGAGCACTTCCTGGGGACAGAGTGCCAAGTGGCAGGGTTGGCCCACATCTGCCAGTTGCCATTCTAAAGGCCGTGGATGACCAGGGTTATGGCTGCCCTGCCCTGCCCTGCCCTGCCAGGCCCGTAGTCCTGTGTGGAACTCGCAGGCCTGCTTGGGGCCCTCCATCTGGCCCATGGTTCCACCCATCTGTGCTCTGTGGATTGAGAGGCTTTTGTGCCATGTCCTCAGCACACCCGCCCCTGCTCCATGGGTGCCAGGGGTTTGCAAAGGCCATTCCCAGGGTGGGGAAAGGGGTCCAGGCCCTGTCCTTGAAGGAGAAAATCCGGGGCCTGTTTTCAGTCCAGCAGCTCACTCTGAGTGAAGTGCACCCTCAGGTCTGGCCCGGCTATGCCATACTTCGAGCCAGAACCCCCGCCGCCTCCTTCAGAGTCAGCACTGCAGACCCGGCACTGCTCTGGCTTCACAAAGTGGGGTGTTGGGGGCATCCAGTTCTATGTTCAGCCTGGGAGAGTTCGGGGGGCACGCCACACCCTGGCCAAGGCCACAACTCAGCCCTGCTGAGAAGGCAATTTTGGGAGGATGTTTTCCAGAGGCCTCGGTGGGTTTCCATTGGTGGTGGTGTGGCTGTAGGTGGGAACAAAGTGGAAGCTGATGTTTGCCCGAAGACGAAGGTGGGGATGGATCAGAGCGGGTATGAAAGGATGGAGAGGGGTGGGAGAATGGAGGATGGGTCAGGGGATGGAGGAGGGGTCAGAGGGAATGGAGGAAAGGTCAGGGGGTAAAGGAGTGCTCAGTGGGGTGGGGGAGGGGTGGTCAGGGACCCTGCCCCGAGCGCCTGTGGCCTGCCTACAGGAGTTCAGCCACCCTGTGGAAAGCCTGGCCCTGACAGTGGAGGAGGTGATGGAGGTGCGTCGTGTGCTGGTGAAAGCCGAGATGGAGAAGTTCCTGCACAACAAGGAGCTGACCAGCAGCCTGAAGAAGGGGAAGGTGAGGGCCTGGGAGCAGGAGCGGGATGGGGGCAGTGAGGACCAGCCCTCAGTCACCTTCCCCTGCAGGTGTGCTGCTGTTGCCGGACCAAGTTCCCATTGTTTTCCTGGCCATCCACCTGCCTCTTCTGCAAGAGGTAAGCCTCTGGCTAGATCCAGGCTGTGCAGTGAGGGGGCAGGTAGGCTCATGTCCACACTGCTGAACCCTTGAGTATCAAAAGTTTATACTTAGTTTGGTTTTGAGTTATCTAAGGGACCCCATTTTCAACCAAGTTGGGTTGACAGGAACTGGAGTAGGTGCCTTCTCCCTGAAATGCCAATGATGAACCAACCTCAAGGGCTGGAGTAGCAGGACAGTGGGTAGAGTGTTTTCCTTGAACACAGCCAGCCCGGGTTTGATCTCCAGAACCACACATGGTCCCCCAAGAACTTCCAGGAGTGATTCCTGAGTGCAAAGCCAGGAGTTAGCCCTGAGTACCACCAGGTATGACACGCCCCTCCCTCCCCACCCCAACAACTTCAGCATAGAAAGCATGAATTTGAAACATTTTTGCAGCACCGACTGCAGCACCAGGGCTGGAGCGATAGCACAGCGGGTAGGGCGTTCGCCTTACAAGCAGCCAACATGGCCGACCCGAGTTCGATTCCTCCGCCCCTCTCGGAGAGCCCGGCAAGCTACCGAGAGTATTCGATATGCCAGACACAGTAACAACAAAGTCTCCAATGGAGACGTTACTGGGCCCGCTCGAGCAAATCGACAATCAACGGGAGGGCCTTTACCTTTACCTTTGCAGCACCAGGGATCACACTCAGGGAGAGAAGCCAGGAAACAGGCTACAAAAGGCCTTTGTACACTCAAAGGGGAAGAGGCCCTTGCAGGGGCCCTGGGGTGCTCCACAGTGCAGAGCATACAGACAGGCACAGAAATCACAGAGGCTGTGGGAGAGCCAGAGCTGGAGCTGGCTGAGCCCCATGTTAGGGGTAGAGGAAGAAACTAGGGGGCTGGAGCCATAGGACAGCAGGCAGGGCACTTAAATTGCACATGCCGACCTGTTAGATCCCTGGCACCCTGTATAGTCCCTCAAGCTTGTCAGTAGTAACCCTTGAATTCAAAGCCACGAGTAAATCTTGAGCACTGCTAGGTATGCCCCCTGCAAACAAAAAAGAATGAAAAAATATGGGGCCAGAACTATAGTACAGTGGGTAGGGAGTTTACCTTGCACTTGACCAACATAGGTTTCAATCCCCACCACCCTATGTTCCCCTGAACCTGCCCGGAGAGATACCTAAGCACAGAGCCAAGAGTAAGTAAGCCCTGAGCATCACCAGATGTGGTTCAAAAATAAAAAACAATATTTTAATTTAAAAAGGTGGGCCTGGGATATAGCTCTGTGAAGGAGGTCCTGGGTTGGATCTCTAACAATACAAAATAAATACATTTAAAATTAAATAAGGGTTGGCAATATAGTACAGCAGGTAGGGCTTTTGCCTTGCTCACAGCCAATCTGGGTTCAATCCCTGGCACTACACCGCCTGAATAACCAGGAAGATTCCTGATCACTGCTGGGTGTGGGCCAAAATAAAAAAATTAAGAAAAAAAAGATATTGATGTGGGATAATGTGTGCAGATATTATTAAAGTCCCAAAGAAAGGGGTTGGGCAGAAAAAAGCCTCCGAAGAAATAATGGCCAACAGAAAAGAAAATAAATTATGGCTAATAATGTTATCCATGATCCAGGAGAGAACTTCAGACTGACACATGCTTTGCATGGTGGAGCCCAGCTTCAATCCCTGACACCACATATGGTTCCCCAGCAGGGATCAGTGAACACAAGCTGTGAGCTACATATAAAAGTTTTTGATATTGATGAAAGATCTGAACCCACACAAAAGTTCATGAACCCAAGTGCAAGAACTACAAATAAAATCATGGCAAGGACATACTAAATTGACCAAAACTTCTGCTAGAGAAAATTTTTTTTCCGTTTTTTTTTTTGTGTGTGTGTGTCACACCCGGCGATGCCCAGGGATCACTCCTGGTGGTGCTTGGGGGACCATATGGGATACTGGGAATTGAACCTGGGCCAGCTGCGTGCAAGGCAAACGCCTTACCCGCTGTGCTATTGCTCCAGCACCAAGAAAATTTTGTTTTTGATTTCAAAACTCCTCAGTAACTGATAAAACTCAAAGACAAAACTGTAAGAGTTGAGCAGCATTCTCAATTTCCAGCCAAGGCAAAATGGGCACTCCTGCCAAGAGGACACATACCAGTGACCAAACACCAGATTCTGGCCATGAAACATGAGTTCATATCACATGGGTGTGCAGCAAAGTAAGATCAAAGCTGATTAACTATGGCACATAGGTGCAAAAGAACATGGTGACTTGTTTAAAGAGGTGACTTTAGACACGTGTCTCCAGTGGTAGAGGGTGTGCCTTGTGTCTGGGGAGGGCCCGGGTCTGAACCACACTGCATGCCACAGCAGTAATTCAAAAGATGAGGTGAATGTGGATATTGTGTGAGCATAGCCATGGGGGTCCTGTGCAGAGCATGTGTAGTCTCCACCTTTCTCAGGTTGTTGTAGCACAGCTGGATTTGTAGCCATCTTGAGCAGCATCTTGTGAATCTGTTTTCCCAGAGCTGGAACCAGAGAGGCAGAAAAGGTGTTACTTGCTACTTATGACCGAATGACGCTCATTTACTTGTTCTTGGGCCACACCTGGCAGTACTTGAGCCTTCCTCCTGGTGGTTGAGCACTTTCCCCCGTGTTTGGGCCAATACACCCAGCCTTGTTCAGGGGTTATTCCTGGCTCTGCACTCAAGTCACTCCTAGCATGCTCGGGGACGATATGGGATGCTGGTGGTTGAACCTGGGCTGGCTGTGTGCAAGCACCCTTACCTGCACCATCACACTTTCTGTGTTATAGCTCAGGTGCCACACTGAGCACTTCTTTTGACCCTTGGTACCACATTGTCCTCTGAACACCACCAGGAATGTTCCCTAAACTCTGAATTGGAAATAGCCTTGGAACGCTTGTTGGTGTGGCCCAAAAAGAAAACTAAATGAAACTGAGCACCCAGTTCCTCTGGCTTGGATGGGGTATGGTAGTGAGAGGTGACAGACACACAACTGTGTGGAGGACATGTGGGGGTGAGATGTGGGTTCCACACTTAGCCTGGTGTGCTTTCCTCTCCCTTTTAGGGCCGTGTGCAGCCCCTGCAGTGTAAAGGTGAGTGTCATCTGGGACCTTAGGGAGCTTGTGTCCAGGGGGCCTGGAGAATAGGCACTGCATCCCTTCAGGAGGTACCTCCTCCCTCTCTTGAATCCAAGCCACTCCACCCCCCATTTCTTGTTTAGCAGCCACAGCCACAGCGATGCTCAAGGGTTACTCCTGGGTCTGCACTGAATTATTCCTGATGGGTTCAGGAGACTATATGTGGTGGTGGGGATTGAACCTGGGTTGGCCACATGCAAGGCAAGAACCCTACCCGCTGTATCATCACTTTGGCCCCTCTATTCCCATATCTAAAGACACTTGTGGTGTGCTGCAGTGCCCCCATTCTGGTGCCCAGAACCATTCCACCCCCCCACCCCAAGGGCCTACCCTTTGGCAGGACAACTTGAATGTGAGCAGAGCTCCACAGAGCAACCATTAGTGTGTCTGTGTACATGCAGCATGCAGATTCAAGATGCCTTTTAGGTTGGAGAGATAGGACAGTGGGGAGCTGACCTGGATTAAATCACTGGCATTCCATATGGTTCCCTGAGTACTGCCAAGAGTAATTCCTGAGTGCAGTGCCAGGAGTGACTTCTGAGCAATGCAGGATGTGGTCCATAAACCAAAAAAAGAAGATCCCTTTGATGAGTGTGCAGTCTCAGGCCTAGAAAGCCCCAAAGGTGCAGGATTTGCAAAAGGCACTTAGCTCCATCCACATGGTGCCCCAGAACTGCCTTCCATCCATGTCCCCTCAAAAGAGGCATGTTACACCTCAGCCCTTTATCATGACCTGCTGGAAGGATTCTGAGAAGCAGCACTGTTGCCAAACCCTCCCTTCCTGTCACCTCTGGGGGTGTTCTGATGCTCTCGATGTGGTAGGGTGCTTGGTACCTGCTCTAGGAAGTGCTTGTTCGTCCTTGAGAAGGTCTGCTGTAAGCTCTTACCCTGCCCCCAGGCCTCTCCACTTCTCCTGGAGGTGACACCTCTCTCTCTCTAGATGAAGATGCCTTCTAAGAAGCTCGCACACATCCCAGTCTATGCACTGGGCTTTGAGGGTCCTCTGAAGAGGTCAGCCACGAAAGCCACACCTACTCAAAGAAGAGATGTCTTCCAGTGCGTTTCTTTGTCCCTTGTTGTGGTCACCTTGGTGGGCAGGCTTTGACAGTAACCTCAGAGCTGGGGGCGGTGCTAACCGCTGGGATACTCCTGGGTAATGGAAACCAGGTCGTGCTTCTGAGATGGTCTGTATTGCCTCAGGGGTCTGAGGCAAAAGTGTGAGGCACACACCAACATGCTGCCTTTGCTGGCATGACCCATGTTGTTTGCTGTCCTGGGTGAGGGCTATGGTGGATAAGATGGGTCCTCCCTGACATCTATCTGCTCAGATCCCTGCAGGGGCCACAGTGGCAGAGCGTGGAGGACGAGTTCCCACACCTTTACACACATGGCGGCGTGCTCAAGGACGTCTGCAGTGACTGCACCAGCTTTGTGGCCGATGTGGTACACTCTAGCCGCAAGAGTGTGGATGCCCTCAATGCAACCCCGCGTAGGGCCCGGCAGACCCGGTCCCTCTATGTCCCTAACACCTGGACGCTGGACTTCAAGTGATGCCCCTGAGAAATTGTACTGAGTGCATGTAAATTCATACATAGACCGCGATGTAACACACCCACAGCCTATATATTTATAGACAGTTCTCCTGACTCCCGAGTCTACATGGGGTCAGATTCACTCTAAGACCCTCTCAGGATTCCTTAGGTGGAACAGCACTGGGAAGGAAGCAGATTGGACATGGAATAGAGCGCTAGTTGCCAACCAGGAAACATACTGTCCCCTGTGGGCCCTTGGGTTATTCCAAAGGGGCCACAGCACAAGCACAAATCCAGGGGACGAACAGAACAGGGACACAGTTAGGAAACAAGGTTGAGAAGACACTGAGAGCCTGGAACAGAGGATTCTGGCCTGGGGGCACCGGGAAAGCACCCCTATCCCACGCTGGTGTCTCATCTCAGGGACAAGAACATGGCAAGCCCCTTGCAGGCCTGGGAAAGCTGGAAACGGTTGGTCCCGTAAGCATTCACTCCTTCGTCTGGAAGGCATGACGCTAGGGCAGATTGCCACCAGCTTGCCTGGCACCACAACTCAGCCACCCAGGGCATCAGGTGCCACTGTGCTCTCATACCCAAGGTGTGGGGATGGTGGCACGGGGTAGCTGAGCAGCTCTGTATGTGCAAACGACTACTCTTGGCCTAATAAAGTTGTTCTCCAGGGCCTCATGTGTGGAGTGGCGCCCGACAGCTACACAGACACAGGCTGGGTGCCAGGCTCAGCGGGTCATCTGCTCTCTGCTTCAGGCACCTTACTGACCCAAGACCCAATCCATGAGCTGGTCTTCTCGGTCCTGTGGCCAGCAGGGCTGTGTGGGATAGTGGTGCCTGCCCCGGCCCTCCAGATCCTATTCTCTTCTCTGGACCGATGGCTCCCCTGGGTCTGCTGGGTGGGGCAGCGCCACTCTGCTCCCAGGAGTTGGTGCTTGGCCACAAGTGCCCCTCCCTGGCCGGGAAGCACTCCAGGTCGAGGGGAGAGAACTGAGCACACCGCTTGTGTGGCTCTCACCCAAGCCCACGAGCTGCGCTTGAGCCCCGCCTGGCGCCTCCGTGCCGGCCACAGGCCAGGCTTTACCACCCAGGGCAGGGCGGCACTTGCAGGAGGCGGGCAGCCACAGGGAAGTGGAACTGGCACAGCCGGCAGAAGCTGCCGACTCCCACTGCGAGGTGGCCCGGGGTCCCTGTCTCCAGGCCAGAGCAACTCTGCACCTCGCTTGAGCCCCCGTACTGGCCCATCTGGACGCCGGCCGGCGCTGCCAGCAACACCCCCGATACCCCGGGCACTGCGGGCTGGCTCCCAGAACGAAGCGCCGGGGACTCGGGTCGAGGATGCAGGGCCGTGGCTCAGAAGTGACCCTGAGCGCAGGCCCGCCCGTGTCCTCAGGACCCGCCGCGCGGGGACGGCGTGGGCCGGCCTGCACTGACCCCGCTCCCCGGGATCTGGCCAGACGCACCCCGGAGGCCCTTCTGAGGAGCGGCTGGGACCCGCGGCCGCACCTCCCTGAGCCGCACCCGGACCTCACCTGTCGCTCTCGGCGCGCGGGCGCAGCCTCCGGCGAGGCGGCCTGGCCAAGGGGACCCCCACACGCCTCCGCTCGGGGCCACACCCGTGACGCCCGCACTGCTCCCCGGACGTGCTCGAGCGCCCGGCCTCGGGCAGGCGCGGCTCTGCGTGGCGGGGCTCCGGGCGGGCGCGGGCCTCGCGCCGGGCCCAGGGCTGGGTCCCGCACCCCTCCGCGACAAGCCCCGGGCGGGCCGAGCTGTCCACTCCGCCATATCCGCCCCCCGCAACAAAACCTCGGCGGCCGGACGCGGACACCAGAGCCGCCGCGCCCGGTCCCGCCCGCGCCTCCCGCCCGCGCCTCCCGCCCGCGCGCGGCCGCGGTCGCGCGAGATCTCCGCCGGAAGTGCCGGAGGTGCCGGAAGTGCCGGCCTTCTGTAACGCCTCCCGGGCGGGGCGCGCCGCGCGCAGGCGCCACACGCTCGCCGCTGCGCTGCCTGCTCCCGGTTTCCAGACGTCAGCGGCCGTTGGGTCCTATGTCGCGCCGGGCCCTCCGGAGGCTGAGGGGGGAACAGCGCGGGCAGGAGCCCCTCGGGCCCAGCGCCTTGCAGTTCGTCCTCCGCGATGACGAGGAAGCGGAAGAAGACGGCCCCAGACGGGAGCCGGCCGGCCGGCGCCCCCGCCCCCCGGGGAAGGAGGGCGTCCGAGTCAACAACCGCTTCGAGCTGGTGGGTCCCTGCACGGGGGCGACCGGAGGGCCGGGTGCGAGCGGCGGGGGCGGGGCCGTGACGTCACGGGGCGGGGCCGGTCAGGGCCGGGTCGCCGGGCGGGGCCGTGACGTCACGGGGCGGGCCGCCGCGTCCGGGGCGGGGCCGGTCAGGTTTGGGTCGCCGGGGCGGGGCCTCTCGGGGCGGGGCCTCTCGGGGCGGGGCCTCTCGGGGCGGGGCCTCTCGGGGCGGGGCCTCTCGGGCGGGGCTTCCGGGCTGAGCGTCCCACCGCTGCGGCCGCTGTCCCCGCGCTCCTGCTGTTCTCCGCGTTCTCCACGTCCTGTGACTTCCGCCGGCCGCCCCGACGCTCTCTTTGGCTTTATTGGCAGCTCAAGCTAAGGGACTCCGGGCAGGCTCCGGGGACCCGATGGGGTGCGCGTGTAAGGCACGCGCTCTGCTCCTGTTTGTTTTGGCCCCCAAAGGCTGCTCGTGGCTCTCTCCCAAGGGTCCCTCCAGGTGTCCACCCACATGGGCAAGGGCCTTAGTCCCAGTCCTCTCTCGCCAGCTTGTTTTCGTGCACCGTTTATCATGTTGCCCCTTAACAGTCACTAAGATCTGAGGGACATCTGTGCACAGCTGCTGTGGCACGCTTCTCCGAGGAAGTGGGCCAGTTTGTCCTCTTGCTTAGATGAGGTAGTGCCATCGACAAGGCAAGTTTAGGCCTTCGGGCTTAAGGGTGTTTGTCGCTGGCAAAGAAAGGCAGGTAAATGGACGGGGTTGGGGAGGTGAGTGGGCAGGGTGTTGGCGGTTTATTGTTTGGGCGCCACAGCTAGTGATGCTGAGGGATCACTTCTGATGGGCTTTGGAGACCATATGGGATGCCAGAAATTGAACCCAGGTCAGCTGTGTGTAAGGCAAGTGGCCTACCTGCTGCACTATGCTCTGATTCCGAGATAAAAATTTTAATTTTGGAGCTGGAGCGATAGCACAGCAGGTAGGGCGTTTGCCTTGCACACGGCCGACCCGGGTTCAATTCTCAGCATCCCATATGGTTCCCCAAACACCGTCAGTAGTGATTCCTGGGTGCATGAGCCAGGAGTAAGTCCTGTGTATCTCTGGGTGTGACCCAAAAAGCAAAAAAAATAATAATTTTAATTTATTTTTGAGCTACACTCAGCAATGTTCAGGGGCTTTTCCCAAGGGGCAAAGGGTCCATATATTGCTCAGGGTTCAGAATGGGGCCTCCAGCATGCAGCATGAGTTCCCACCCATGGAGTTACTGGTCTTGGGAGAGATTTTGTGTTTTGTTTTGATTTTTGGCCATATCTGGCGGTGCTCAGGGCTGACTCTTGGTTCTGTACTCAGGGATCATTTCCTGCGGGAGTTGCGGTGGGTCGGGGGGACAGCCTGTGTGGTCCTGGGCATTGAACCACGTCAGGTACATGCTCAGCAAGTGCTTCCTGCTGCACTTTCTCTCAGTCTCTTCTGAAAGAATAGTAATGAAAACACAACATAACAAAATTTGTGGGTTGCAGCCTGACCGATGATTAAAGGGAACTTTGTAATCTCGAATCCTATGTTAGAAACCCTTGGCCTCGAGTTACCAAACTGAGGTTAATGCTTGAAGCAGGGAGTCAGCCTGAGCAGAATCAGCGACAGGAGGGTGCAGAGCATTGGGCACAGCATGGCATTGGGCGTGCAGTGCTTAGACTATGTCAGAATCGTAAATGCTAACTTTGCTGTGATCGTATTATCCAAATGACAGCAATGAGTTTTATAACATAAATGCATTTTTTAAAGAATTTTTAAAAGTCTCGTATTAGAGCGCCAGATTACAGCTCAGTGGTAGCAGTGGTAGAGGGTATACTCCTTCTGTTTGGAGCAAATCCTCTGGTTTCTGTCCCAGCCATACACACCCCTACACCCTCATCTGTACACATACACTCATATACTCGCACGTGCCCATACACATCCATTTGCTTACATATATACACACACGTATGTACACACACTCATTTATACCAATACACACGCATGCATACATAGACCCATACTCATACACACACCCATACATGTGCACAGTCACATGTAGTACACATATACCCATGCACACATATATACACACAGAAATGTACATGTGAGCACATAGCCATGCACACATGTGTATGCATATTCATTCTCATACACATGTGTGCATGCACATATAACATGCATTTGCATACAAATATGCTCACCCTTACAGACATATATGTGCATAAACACATACATAGACACATAAACATATGCAGCGCATATACATGCATAACACCCATACACAGCAGTGTACTCATACCCATATACTCATGTATCCACACATGATCATGCAAATACATGCACATACACATATTCATACATAATACATATATGCATGGCCACATATACTCATACATAGGTGAATACATTGTACATTGTACGATGTATGCGTGTTGTACAATATATTCAACATATACAATATGTACGTTGTACAATATATACAAATATACTCATCCACAAGTAAACATGTCACACATCTATATGTACACAATAGACACACGTGCATGCATACATGTGTACACATACCCAAATATATATGTGCACATATACATACCCATAGACGTATATATGCAATACACGCTTATACACGTATATACATGCACACTCACATACATCCACACAAACACACACAGATGCTATATCAGAAGAGAACGGTGTAATATTTTTCAAAAACACCTTAGGGGTCAAAGAGTACAGCAATTAAGTCATTTGCCTTGTGCTCAGCTGACCCCAGTTCTATTCCCAGCACCACATGTGGTCTCCCAGATACCACTCGGAGTGGCTCCTGGGCATCAAAGGGTGTCGCCCCCCCAAAATCATATTGAAATTCTGTCTTAAAGAAGAAAGGTCATTCAGACTCCAAGTGTGTGTAAGATAGTCGGTGAGCACAGTGGACTGAGCACATGCCTTGCATGTGGGAGCTTGGGTTCAATCCATGGCATCGCATGGTACCTCAAGTATCTCCAGTAGTGACCCCAAAACCAAATCAAACCCATGTGCAGGAGAGAAAAATCTGTACAGATTTTTAAAAAATTGATGAAATGAAGTAGAGAAAACCAGTAAAATGGCCATATTTATCTGTTGGAGATTTTTTTTGCAGGGGCAGTTGGTTTTTGGGCCACACCCAGCAGTTCTTAGCTCTGACTCCGGACTCTGCTCTCAAGGGTGCCTCCTCATGGGGGTCTGGGATGGACTCCTGGGAGCCCTGCATGCTCTGGGATCAGAAGCCACCCTGCTTGGTGCGGCAGACATCCGTGGTCCTCCCACGACAGCTCAGAGCGACCTTGAGCATGCCACCCCCTGCTCTCTGCTGCTTTGGGCCCCGCTCACCATCCTGAGAACAGAACGACCCAACGCCCTGTTCTCTCCCACTGTTTTGCAGATAGACATCGAGGACCTGGAGGAGGGCCCCATGGTGAACGGGGAGAGAGCTGAGTGTCCGCTCGTTACCCCCCCTGTGACATCGGGCAGCAAGAGGAGGGCTCAGAGCGGAAGTGCGGAGCCTGGGAGCGATGGAGGGGTTTCTGGCAAGGCCGCACCCCTCGAGCAGGTGGGCCGCTTGGGGCTCCTCCCATCTCCAGACTGTTATTTCCCTGGGAGCCTGACCACTTTTGTTCCGGGTCCTTCAGACGTGGCTGGTGAGAAGAGCCTGCAGAGGCATTAGCGTCTGGAGTGTCAGCTCCTGCTCTGCAGCTGCGAGCTCCTCACTGCTCCTCAGCTGTGCTGGTGCTGTGAGGGGGTGTGGCACGGGAGAGGGTCTCTAGTAGGGAGGCCACACTGACAGGGAGCCCTCAGTGCTTCTGAGGGCTTCCCTGAGGAAGGAATCAGGAGGGACCAGGGTGAGGGCAGTTTGGAGACCTTGGCTGAGCCAGCAGGGTCAAGGACCAAGTCAGAGGCAGGGGAGCAGGTGGTCAGGTCTGGGGGTGCTGGGAGAGGATCCGTGAGTGTAGATGCATTCTGCGGTCTTGCAGCTGACAGCCTGGTTCTCACTGCTGTAGGTCATCTCTGTCCTATCAATTTAAAAATGTGCTTCTTTTGTTAGTCTAATGCAAGTGGCAAACTTCGAAAGAAGAAAAAGAAACAGAAAAATAAGAAAAACTCTGCAGGAGAAAGCTGGGTATGTGCGTCCTAGTGGGAGTTGGCTTCTACGTCTGCTGTTGTGCAGACAGCCTGGTTTCCGTTTGATACCGTGAGCCTTCCCGCCAGGAGTCGAACTGAGGTCAGGAAACTCGAAAAGCCACGGTTTCTTACCCAGTTCTGCTTCTGTGTGCACACTCATCTCGAGGCCTGGGCCGCTTGCCCACAGAAGGGGGCTTCTGCATTGGGAGGGGCACCCTTGTCCCATTGCATTGTCGCTCTGGTCCCATCACCTGACTGTCTGTCCTGAAAGAGCTGGGTTCTAGCTTCGGCCCAGTCCCAGGCCTTGTTCCGTCCTCCAGAGGTGAGCACCTAGTAATCCGGGTGCTGTGGTCCTGTGCTTGTCTGCTTGGAGCTTCCTCTGGGCAGTGCTCTTTTTCTGAATGTTGTCCGATGTGTGGTGTTTGCATTCTGCACCTCTCAGAAGTAAACATGCCATAATGCTTGTTCTTTGTAAACAGAAAAAACAAATGTTGTTGCAATATTTATAGTAAAGCTGATGTGATTGTGGTTTTAATATGTTCTTTGGACTCCTAGGAAAATGGACTAGAAGATATTGATCGCATCTTGGAGAGGATCGAAGACAGCAGTGGCCTGGCCCGGCCTGGCCCGCCGCCCCTAAGCACCAAGAAGCATATCCTCTACGTGGAGCACAGGTGCTCGCTCCCTCCTGGCCGTGTCGCCACCAACACCCCCGCTCCCGCCCCGATTGTTGCAGCCTTTCAGGAGTAAAGCACAAGCCAAAGCTGTGTTGTTGGAGGACCTTTCTCTGCAGGCCCCTGAACTGTCATCCTGGCATGGATCCGAATGAGGCCCTGCCCCTGTCACAGACTTGTTGCTAGTGGAGAAAGTGGCATCTTTCTCCTGAGTGCCACAAAGGTGCCCTTCATGGTTCACCGGGGCCACAGGCTGGTGGCTCATGGGTGTCCGCCCCTTTCAGGGAAACCCCGGCAGTTTCTGGGGTCTGTCTTCCATAGCAGACAGACGGCAGTGCCCCACCCAGCACTGGCCTTGCAGGTGCAGCACCCCCGACAGCGTGAGGGCTGCAGGGGCTGTGTCAGAGCTGCCTCTGCCCTGTGGGGCTCTTGTCAGTCTCAGTGGCCCAGAAGTTTTTGGAAAGGACTTAATTTTCATTTTCCTTTGAAATTTCTGGTTTTCTAGACACTTGAATCCAGACACAGAACTGAAGAGGTATTTTGGTGCCCGAGCGGTCCTTGGGGAGCAGAGGTGAGCCCTCCCCTCCGTCCCTCCCAAGGCAGCCTCAGTCCAGGGAATGGCTGCGGCTTCATGGCAGTATGAGCCCCGAGGGTCTCTGGTCTGAGGGGCCTACCCTCACTCGGCCTCCAGCTCACACTTCAGCTCTTGACTCATTCTGGAAGTGCCCGACTTGCCAGCTCTTCCTGCCACCTCAGGTCTCAGCCTGGCTCCTCCTGCCTCCCAGTTAGCCACACTGACAGCTGCCCTTAGTCTGAGACGCGCTGTGTGGGCTGTGTCTCGGGACCTGTGCTCTGCTTCCCCACTCCAGCTGGGCTCACCTGCCACAAACACTTTTTCTCATTATAGAACTAAATGCTTATAAAACAATTCAGGAATCTCAGAATTGTCTCTTTCTGCCCCTGTTCCCCAAGAGCCACTGAGGAGGGTTTGCTGCAGTATCCATAGGGAGTCCTGGGCCTGGTGTCCTAGGTCAGCTGCTCACTCCAGGTGGCAAGTGTGTGCCCTGGTGTGGTGGTTACAGCCCCTATGTCTCTCTGCATGGCTCGTTACGTTTCATGTTAGGGCCACACTTAATGATGTTCCAGGCTTATCCTGACTTGGTGCTCAGGGATCACTGCTCACTGTGCTTGGGGAACCATGTGGTGTGGCAGGGATGGAACCCTACTTGGCTGCATACAAGGCAAATGCCCTACCTATGGACTGTCTTCAGCCCTGCATGGCCCTTTCTGGAGGCAGATCTGGGGGTCTGTGCTCTCACGCTGGGTCTTCCCAAGCCCCTGAACTGATCTCTGGTCTGACTGCCTGACGTGTGGTGTGCATGAACAGTGGCACTGGCGGTTCTGCTTCTGCTCCCTAGGTCAGAGACAGGTGGGGCATGTCAGCTTCTTCACTCTTTCCTGTATTGGCAGTGGGAACATGCCCACCTGTGCTCAGGCCTCACTCCTGGCAGGACAGATGTGGAACGAGGGGACCCAGGTCGGCTGTGTGCAGGGCAAACACTCTCCTGCTGCCCTCGCTCTCAGCCCCTTTCCTCGTGTTTCTGACAGAGTTTGCTTTGCGCTTTGTGTGACTGCTTGTGATAAAGGGTCCATAGCATCATGGCTTCTCTGAAAAGTCGGGACATTCTTACTCCAAGGTGTCCGTCTTTCTCTCCTGGGTCATTGAGCTGGGTGCTCCTATCCAGTGGTTTGATTTATTTTTGTTTTGTTTTGGGGCCATACCTGGTGGTTCACAGAGCTGACTCCTGGCTCTGTGTTAAAGGAACCGTTATTGGTGCCGGGGATGGGACCCAGATTGGCCTTGAGCAGGGCAAATGCCCTGTCTGCTGTATTCTCTCTGCCCCGTGATTTACTTTCAGTGCCTCATGACCTTATGTCTGCTCTTGCTTCTGTCAGATATTAATGGCAAGAGTGGTAGTCTCCATCAGAGACCACTTGCTGGGAACTGTCTCTCGGGGGGGGGAGGGGAGGGTGCCTGTGTGGTAGGTGGTGTGTGGTTTAGCAGCTTCCTTCCAGAGTGACTTCGTGCTGAGATGCAGCAGTCTTGCCATTTCCCTTCACTGTCACCATTTGCCTTTATTTTTGTTTTATTTTGGGGGCTACTCTCAGCTGTGCTTAGGGCTGACTCCCAGCTCTGCTCTCAGGGATCACTCTTGGCGGGGCTCAGACCTGAGTGGGTGTCTTCCCCGGTATCCTAGCTCTCCCATTCCTGTATGTCATTGTTCTAAGAGGAGCCTATAGTCCAATAGTCCAATGAGGTCCCTGGAGTGGGCGGCAGGCACAGATGCCTCTGCTGTGTCTGCACGCGTGCCCTCGGTCTCCAGGCGCCCCTGACCTTTTCCTTGCTTCTTGCTGGACGTGCACCGTGATGTTCTTTTTTCCCCTCCCACCTTGCATTGTTTTTCCTTGGGTCTGCCCACAGCTGTAGCCCTTAGTTTGCTCTCAGTCCCAGTGCTGCTGATGCTGCCTAAGGAAAGGCAAAGCTCCTGCCTCTTCTCTCTAGGCCGCGACAGAGACAGCGTGTGTACCCCAAGTGCACGTGGCTGACGACCCCCAAGAGCACCTGGCCCCGGTATACCAGACCAGGTGAGTGCTGTGCTAGGCCAGCACGAGGCCCCTGAGCCAGGATCTGCGACGCAGGCTGCCGCTGACAGAGCCCCCGAATCTGCTCCACACCTTCCCGACCCTGTTTTCCTGTCTCCTGTCTTTGCCTTTTCCTGTGGGAACTGCCCTGCAGGAAGCAGCCAAAATCATGTTTAAAGTGTGATACTCTGTATTTTGTTTCACATTAGTAAAACATAATTTAATGAAAAGTGGCGACTGTACAGAGATATTTAAGGAGCCATGGTGCATCCAGAGAGCACCCGACGGTTCTTGGGCTTGGATATGTGGGGTGAGTGTGAGGACAGGGGCGTGCACTGTGGAGGGGGCCTGCAGCCCTGCTCACTGGTCCGGGGCTCTGTTCTCACCCTGCCTCCAGCAGTGTCTCCCAGCTGTACTTGGGGGCCATGTGGTATTAGGGATTGAATGGGGTGACCACATGCAGGGAGACACCTTAGATCCTGGCAGTGAGCGGAAGGCCTGAGCAGCGGCCGTCTGGGGGCTCTTGGGGTCTGTGCTCTCTGGTACAGCCTGGAACCCACTGGCCAATTCCATGAAATTATCAAAAGGAGAATCTGAAGGTTTCAGTTTTCCCCCAGGGAGGCAGACTCCACCCTCCAGAGTTTGGTGCAGGAGCAGAGTGGAAAGGGTCCAGTCTCCAGCTCCTGAATTGGAGCAGTGTGGACGGGCCGAATTCTGCTTGTCCCCTGGGCTGTGGGTGCTCCATGTCCCCAGGAGACCACGGAGAAGGTGTGGTGCTTCTGGGGCTGTATAGAGGCCCAGCCTTGGCTGTGCTCACTCGCTCTCCCCTCAGGCTTGTCCATGCGGCTGCTGGAGTCCAAGAAAGGCCTGTCCTCCTTCACGTTTGAGCACAGCGAGGAGTACCAGCACACACAGTACAAGTTCCTGGCTGCCGTGGACTCCATGGAGCCAAACAACATCGTGGTGTGTTTCCCTGGGTGGCCTCCTGGGGGACCCATTTGCGCACCCTAAGGTGTCGGCGACTCTGAGCTGAGCCAGGCCTTAGTGTGCTGTGGACTGGCGCTTGCCTTCCAAGGAGCGGGGAGTGAGGAGGGTGTCTTGTGACCAGCTCCCAGTCTCAGTGCCCAGAGGAAGGTGGGCGGGCCTGGGCCTGCTGTGTGTTGTGGACAAGCTGTCAGTTCTGCCGGTGCCCCTAGGTGCTGCTCCAGACCAGCCCCTACCACGTGGACTCCCTCCTGCAGCTGAGTGACGCCTGCCGCTTCCAGGAGGACCAGGAGATGGCCCGAGATCTCGTGGGTAGGGCCCCGACCTGAGCCAGAGCCCCTCGCCCAGGGCTGCGGTCGGCCTTTAGCCGAGCGCTCCTTTCTGGCTGACCTTGCCTGAGGGTGGACACTGGAGGGGTGCTGGAGCAAACCAGTCCTGTGCAGCGGCAGGTGTAGAGTGGTGCCCTCTGCCTGGGCGCGAGCGCTAATGCAGCCCTGCTGTCTGCAGAGCGAGCCCTGTACAGCATGGAGTGTGCCCTACACCCGCTCTTCAGCCTCACCAGTGGGACCTGCCGGCTGGACTACCGCAGACCTGAGAACAGGTGACGGGTCCCTGGGGTGTGGGGACGGGTACCTGGTCTGGAGCTCAGCTGAGTCCATGGGGAAGCCTGAGTGTCAGAGGCTGAAGTCTGGCCAGGGCTTAAGTGTCCCAGTCCACCATGCTGGTGTCCAGCCTTGTTCCCTCACACTGTGGGCATGCCTCGTCTGTGGGTCTAGAATATACTGGGACTCTGGCAGAGAAGGGTGCAGTCACTGGTTCAGGGGCAGCTGGGTCCACTCACTCTGACCTGCTCTCTTGCCTGGGTACCTCTTGCAGCTGAGCTCTGATGCTCACACCGGCTCTTGCTGCCCCCCCATGGACCCCTTGCCCTTTACTTACTTGATCTTTTTGTTTGTTTGTTTGTTTGTTTTTTGGGTCACACCTGGCGATGCACAGGGGTTACTCCTGGCTCTGCACTCAGGAGTTACTCCTGGCAGTGCTCAGGGGACCATATGGGATGCTGGGAATCGAACCTGGGTCGGCTGCATGCAAGGCAAATGCCCTACCTGCTGTGCTATCTCTCCAGCCCCAACCCTTTACTTGATCTTAAGGGGCTACCTGGTGGGATGTGGGTACAGCTTGCCCCTCCACCTCGAGATGTTACCTCTCCTGGAGTAGGCCCTGGACATGGTGCAGTGGACACTCCAGTTCCTTTGCACTGTTCCAGCTCTGAGTTTCATCTCTTGGTTTTGTTGTTCATTTTGTCTCCAATTAGACTGTTACTTTTGAGGGGACTAGAAGGGGGTACCATCCCCAGTGGTGCTCAAGGGATCCTGCCGTGCTGTGGATGGAGCCAGGGCCGTTGGTAGCAGGGGGTTCTTTTGACCCGCGTTCTTCTCTGGTCCTCCAGTTCAAGTTTTCGTTTTTTGGGGCACAGGTTGAAACGTTGTTGTTGTATACTAGTCACAGAGCTGTGGTCATAGATAAGGCCAGAGTCTGGCCCCTGCCATCACTGAGCCTGGAGGGCAGTTCACGACTGAAATCACAGTACAACTTTCCTACTCTGAGTATGTAAACAGAATGCAGAAGGCTCCAAATACCAGATGAGTTTGGTTGTCTTTGGACCCCGTGTGACTGCCAGCGGTTAGGTCCAGCGAGAAGGGGGCCCGTGGCTGCTGGGGCTTTGCTGCCCGCTTTCACACAGAACTGTCTTGGGTCTAGGAGCTTCTACCTGGCTCTCTACAAGCAGATGAGCTTCTTAGAGAAACGAGGCTGCCCGCGCACAGCGCTGGAGTACTGCAAGCTCATCCTGAGGTACGTGCACCATACCCAGCCCCTGGGGCCCCTGCCCCTCAGGTGTCCACGCCAGCCCACTTTGGGTCTCTTTCTAGTCTGGAACCCGAGGAAGACCCCCTGTGCATGCTGCTGCTGGTGGACCACCTGGCCTTGCGGGCTCGCAACTACGAGTACCTCATCCGCCTCTTCCAGGAGTGGGAGGTGAGTGAGGCCCGCCCAGTCTGGTGTGCACGGGGTGCCATGCACACAGCAGTGGTTCCAGGGATGGGTGTGGTCGTGCAGCCTGCCGGGAGGGGAAAGGAGGCACAGAAATGCACCTGCTTTCTTGACGCTGCGGCTGTGGCTGACACTTGCTCCCTCGAATGCTGAGGGGTGACCTTTCAGGACCTGGAAAGCTGCTGAGTGCCCACCCAAAGACTGGTACAGATGAGCCTTTTCCCATTTCTCTGCTTGGATGGTCAGAGCATTTGTTTCTAAATTTGTGGAAAATGAAGTGAGCGGTTTGGGCAGAGTGCTCTGAGGAGCACTACTCTAGGAGTCTCCTCCACAGAGATTCCCAGGAGACAGCTCAGACTAGCACTGGCAGGGTGTATCCCTGGAGTGGGCTGGGCCAGGGCTTGGTGTGGAGACCCCCCAGCCCTCCCGCTCCTCCTCTTTCTGTCACTTTGCCTGCTGAATGGCCCCTTCACACAACCAGGCTCTTTTGATGGCCTCTTTGTTCGGGAGCCACACCCTGCCTTGCTCAGGGCTGACTTCTGGCAGTGTTCAGGGAACCACATGGGGTAGCAGGGACGGAACCTGGCCAGCCACATGCAGACAGGTGCCCTATGTGCTGTCCTATCACTGGCTGCTGTTTTCAGGGTTTTTTGGTCTTCTTTTGGTGGGAGAGGAAGCTGGCTCCAACAGGTGCCACTCACAGAGAGCCAGGCGCCCCAGAGGGCCTAGTCCTGTCTTCTCCTACACAGGCACACCGGAACCTCTCCCAGCTCCCCAACTTTGCCTTCTCCGTGCCGTTGGCCTATTTCCTGCTGAGTCAGCAGTCAGACCTGCCGGAGGAGGAGGTCAGCTCTGCCCGAGACCAGGCGTCTGTCCTCATCCGCCAGGCTCTCGTCATGTTCCCCGGAGGTGGGTGGCCCGGAGCTGGAGGAATCTTCACATACTTCCCGTCCTTTGTTTTGGGGGCCATATCCAGTGGTACTCAGGGCACCAGGCGGTCCTGGGGCCGGTCCTGGGTTCCCTCCCTTTGCAGAGCTGTGCTCCGGGGCTTCAGTTAAGCTCTTTGATCTGGAGGGACCACCCCAGCATGTGCTGGCAGGGACCCACTGTGTGGGCAGTGTGGGGCCCAATCTGGCAGCCTGCTGTCCATAGGCCCTGAGGCCTGTCATGCCCACTGACGGTTTGTCTTAGAAGATTGTTCTCTGCAGAGAAATATGAGCCTAGCAGCACACATGGAGATATCGTAGAGGGGCGGGGGTGCCTGACGGCGCCCTGGGCTGTGAGCTTTTCTCTTCAAATCCATTTCTCATTGGCTGGAGAAGATCTGAGGGAGCTGGTCATGCTGGGCTGCCCGGCGTTCCCCTGCCTTCCCTTCAGGGCTGACGGCTGCTCTCCGCTCACTCTTCTGGGGGTCCGTGGTCCAAGGAAGGGGCCCACTCTCCCTTCCACTAGTAGCTTTTATAACACACCACCCCCAGTGGCCTCTCTCCTGTGGCTGAAGGCTTAGTTAGGGCTCTCGATTGTCCCTATCAGAGTATGAGCTGCTGCGTGCTTGGCCAGGGGAGGGCAGCCACGGTTCCCACCTCAGAAGGACAGGGCGAAGGCAGAAGGTGGATGTGAGGTAGTAGGGAAGGTCCCAGCAATAGTGAGCGCTGGGGTGGTGGCCAGGCTGCTCAGGTCCTGTAGAGCGCACCAAGCTCACCCCGACTCACCTGAACCCCTTTTCCAGTTGAGATGCAGCACCGAGTGGGCACAGGGCACGTGGAATCTGCTCTCTGGGACTCTGTCCCTGAGGCCGCACTGCTGTCTGTGGAGGTCTCGGTGTGGCCAGGGCACCCTGCACCTCCCTTATGGGCCAGTCGGTAGGACGTGCTGTTTCCCAGGACGCCTCCTCCTCTCTGATGCTGCCCTTGGTGCAGCCTGCGCTGCAGGTGGGGAGGTCGGCACATGTAATGGCCTCTGCTCTGCTCCGCCCACAGTGCTCATGCCGTTGTTGGAGTACTGCAGCGTGCGACCTGACTCTGCTGTGGCCAACCACCGCTTCTTCGGACCTGCGGCTGAGATAAGGTAGACTGAATGTGGCCCAGGCTGCCACTGGGGGAGCTGAGGGAGGCCGAGGGGACACTTGGTGTGGCCCCTGCACTGCTCAGCGTGCTTTTCCAGCAGAGCCCCCTTTGGTGACTTTCTCCTGCGAATTAAGCCGCCTTGGCCCCTCACCAACCAGGGTGGGCGGTGGGCTCTTTCCTTTGCCCTTTTCCTGACATTCCTCCAAATATCCCATCCCTGCCCCCACCTCTGACAGTGTCGCAGCAGCAGCCCCTTGCTCCGTGCTGCCAGGCACACCCTGGACGCCCCCCACAGGTGCCAGTGGGCTTGGGGACGCCTGGACCTGAGGTGTCAGCTGACCAGCCCTGCCCTCTCCCAGCCAGCCTCCTGCGCTGCGCCAGCTGGTGAGCCTGTACCTCGGGCGGTCCCACTTCCTCTGGAAGGAACCGGCCACCATCAGCTGGCTGGAGGAGAATGTCCACGCGGTGCTGCAGGCCGTGGATGCAGGGGACCCTGCTGTGGAGGCGTGTGAGAGCAGGTGAGTGGAAGCGGGGTGGTGTGGGCTGCCGCCACCCTCATGGAGCCACACACTGACACACTGATTCATTTTCTGGGTGCTAGGAGGAAAGTGCTCTACCAGCGTGCACCCAGAAATATCCACCGCCACGTGGTCCTCTCAGAGATCAAGGAAGCGGTGGCTGCCCTACCCCCGGTAAGGAGCAGAGTTGAGGAGGGGGCGGGTGAGCCTAATGTGTACCCCACATTTGGGCCAGAGGGAGGGCGGGCCCATTGGAGCCCTGCCTGTCATTGCCTGACTTTGGGTTCAGTGCAGTGCCGTCCGCTGCCCCAACGCAAGAGGCTGACATGTGGGAGAAGATCCTGGCAGGCCTGAGTGGGGAGCGTGCAGCTCCTCACTGCCACAGGCTTCTGCCCACGGCCAGGCCATTGCCCTCTGAGCCAGCCCAGGGTCCTTGCCGGTGGGCGTGGCCCGGCTCTGGCTGGCGACTCTCCCACTTTCAGCAGTGGGCTGAAAGACTGCCTCTCCTTCTGTGTCCCTTTCTGAAGGACGTGACCACGCAGTCTGTGATGGGCTTTGACCCTCTGCCTCCCCTGGACACCATCTACTCCTACGTCAGACCAGAGAGGTACCCCTTCCCCCCACTCTGCTCCTTTGCTTAGCCGGCTCCCAGGTCAGTGTTTCAGGCCACTGGGCTCGCTCTCCTTCCAGACAGAAGCACAGTCCCCTGAGAGTGTCACCTGGACCACGTCCTCCCTAGCTCCTTCTTTCTCATTCTTTGTCTTTGTGGTGCTGGGGATTAAACCCTGGACTTTTCATGTGAGAGCACGTGCTCCGCCCTTGGCTTGTCGCCAATAGGGTTTGTAGCAGATGCTGGAGCAACGGCAGGAAGCGGAAGTGAGACCCCCCTCTGCTCAAAGGGAGTGGGGGGGGACCAATACGATTGGCAAAGCATAGAATCTAGAAGTAAGCATGAAATCAAAATTGTAGGGGTCAAAGACATAGTACAGAGGGCGGGGCACTTGCCTTGCACACAGAAGACCCAGGTTTGATCCCCAGCACCCTCTATGGTCCTCTGAGTGGTCCCTGAGTGCAGAGGCAGAAGTTAACTCTGAGCAAGCACCACTGGGTGTGGCCTCCTCAAAAGGGAAAATCAGAAATGCAGTATGAAGCTTCTAGGGGACTGGAGAGATGTCTCGAGGACTGAACATACATGTGCATATGGACGGCCTGGGTGGTTTCCGGCATGGCCCCCAAATAAATACAGAATCATGGCTACAGTAGGCAGCCGCCGGGTGACTGGAGCCATAACACAATGGGGAGGCTGCCTATCTTGCATGCTGCCAACGCAGGCTCAATCCCTGGCATCCATATGGTTCCCTGGGCCCGACAAAAGTGATCCCTGACCACAGAGCCAGGAATAAGCTCTAAGCACTGGGTGTGGCCTCAGAACAAAAAAGCCGCCAGGGAGCTGGGAAGGATCCTCAGACTCAGCACTTGAGTGTCACCAGGAATGCCCCGCCCCCGACGAGCAGCCCTGAAATGCTGCCAATGCGTGGGCGGGTGGGGCGGTCCTGTCGGGGCAGCATGCAGGGCAGCCAGTGAGGCTCCGTCTGCCCCGCCCAGAGCCATCCCCAGGACAGCTCCCATCCGCGTGTCCCGTTTCCAACCTCAGAGCCAGTGCTGCTCGCAGCTGGGACCAGGAGTGCATGTGTCCCATGAAGTGATCCCACCAGAAGGTTCCATGGACCTCGGACTGTGTGTTCCTTGGGAGTGGCCAGTCACAGTGCAGTAGATCAGGATGGAAATTACTCTCCACATCAGTGGGTAGGTCCAGGAAGCTTGAGGCTGCAGAGCAGTGCCCTGTGCTGACCGTGTCCTTGGCAGCTCTGCAGTGCAAGTCGTAGGTCCACACTGCTGCCGAGTGTGTCTAGTTGACAGTGGTCATCCTGCAGGAGCTAGAAGCACCCCCGCACAGCCACTCCTAGCCCAGAGTGGAACTGGCCTGCACTCTTGCACGTGCCCTGAGCGTGCTCCGGCTCGAGTCAGCTCAAAAGCAAGCCCTCAGCTGAACAGGCTCCTCCTCAGGCCCTTCCGCTGGGCTGGACTCCACAGCCCACCCCTCCCGGGCCCTGGAGGAGCCCACTACGCAGCCCTGCCTCTCCATACCTGCTGCTCGGGAAGGCCCAGCCCCCGCACACCTCTCTGGGCTTTCTCTTTCAGGCTGAGCCCGGTAAGTCACGGGAACACCATTGCTCTCTTCTTCCGATCACTGTTGCCGAATTACACTGCGGAGGTACGTCACCTGTGGGGGCGCTGCCTCTGCCATCGCTCTGTCCAGCCTCCTCTGGACCTGGGACGTGCCTGCCTGAGACTACTCACCGAGCTGGCGGGGGGGTGGCCGTGTGAGCCCCCTCTGGGCCTCCAGACAAGGGGCTGTTTGCTTGGTGCTTCTGTCCACAGGGTACTGGGCAGACTGCTGGCCCGGACCCCTGGTCAGCCCTGCTCAGACAGTTCTCATTGCTTCAGGGAGAGAGGCCAGAGGACGGAGGGGCTGGGGGTCCGAACCTCAACCACGGCTTGAACAGGCTGATGCTGGCCTTGCGGGACATGATGGCCAACTTCCACTTCCAAGACCCTGAGGCACCGCACGAGGACCAGCCCGAGGGGGATGGGGAGTGGGACTGAGGGACGAACCCAACCTGTACAATTATGTTCCTGATTTCTGTTCTGGTCGGAATTGGCCAGTTCCCTGAAGTAGAGGCAGACTGTGGTCGGTGCCTCTGTCCCCATAAATGTGGATGGGTCAGACTGTGTGGCTTCTTTCCCAGCTGGGGTGGGGCCAGCACAGGCCCCCACCACCGCACATCCTCCCGCTGCCTTCAGCTTGGGGCTGGGGTTGCAGAGGGATACCCCTGGGTTCCAGGCCAAGGCACTGACTCCCACCTCTATGGAGTGACCACTGTAGTGTGTCAATCTGGGTGCCAGGTTTTGCCAGGCACCTGGCGGCACTCCTCGGGTGGACCTGTATGAAAAGATGGTGCCTGCCTGGCAACCCTGAGGTGCATCAGGCAAGGAAGAGGGTTCCCACTAGGGCAGGTGGGGTGTCAGGAGGGGCATCCCATCGTCCAGACAGCTCAGCTCCAGAGCTCCCTCTTTGAGCCCATCTGGAGGCCACAGAAGGCTCTGTGCCTTGAGAGCAGCATCAGCAGAACCCAGAGGTGAGGCGTCCGCTCTCAGCACACCTGCCTTAGCTGCCATAACTGTGTTGGTGAGATGTGAGTCGGGCAGACTGTCCCATCTTGGTTTCATACACCCCTACCCTCTTCCCCAGTGCACTGAAAGGGCATGTCGCTAGCTTGTGCCATTAAGCCCAGACCAGTGGGGGTCTTGTGAGAAAGGGTGTTACCCTGGGAAGAACAGGTTAAGACAGAGCTACAGACCGCCCTTTCTAGCACAAGTGCAGCCACTTTGTAAGCGGGAGTCAACATGCTTTAAAATGAAGGCCCAGAGTAACAGTATAGCAGGTAGGGATTTGGCCTTGCACGCAGCTGGCCTGGATTTGATCCTGACACCCTACATGGTCCTCCTCAAGCCCACCAGGAGTACAGAGTTAGGAATAACCCCTGAGCACTGTCAGGTGAGAACTTAAAAGCCCAGGGACCAGAGCAGTAGTACGGTGGGTTGCTTGCTTGTCTTGCACCAATCTGAGTTTAGTCCCTGGGTCCCCAGCACACCATATGGTCCCCAGGGCCCACCAGGAGTGATTCCCGAGCACAGAGCCAGGAATCAGCCCTGAGACTGCTCTGTGTGGGCCTCTCCAGACACAAAATAAAAGGCCCGGGCAGACAAGGGAGCAGTGCCAAATAGCATGTCTGAGGTGCTAGGTTTGGCCTGTCTCCCTCCCCCAAAATAATGTTTTGTTTGGGAGTCACACCAAGCAATGCTCAGGGGTTCCTCCTGGCTCTGCACTCAGGAATCACTCCTGGCGGTGCTCAGGGGACCATATGGGCCACTGGAAATTGAGAAACCGAGCCCTGGTCCACCATGTGCAAGGCAAGTGCCCTACCTGCTGTGCTATTGTTCTGCCCCCCAAAATAATTTTTCTGAAAAAGGAAGAGCCAGTGTTTCAAGGTCATGAAGCACAGAAAGGCTGGGTCCAGGCTGGCCTCAGCTGCACAGGTCACCCCAGTCCTTTTCCACTAAGGAAACTGGACAGCACTCGTGCCCACATGCCAGTAGCCACCCCTCTGGAGGCCCTGGAACAGCATGGTCCTGGGAACAGCACAAGGCTGTCATGGCCGAGCAGACCCAGCCTGTCCGGGGGCCCTTTGTGAAAGCAGGGCAACCCATTTAGGATGGGATACACATGAGCCATACGCTCCTGTGTCCCAGATGCCTCATGTCACTTCTTTCTCCAGGGGCACCAAACAGCGAAGAGTGTAGGTGTGGCCTGTTCTCATGGCCCTAACTGCTGGACCTGCAACCACTCCCCCCACAGTTGAGGCCTCACACATCCAGTGGGCGCTGGAAGCTGCTCCTGGGAGGGCTGCAGGCTTGTCTGTAGCTCCCCAGTGCTCATGGTCCTTTAAGTCTCAGGCTGGGTGGGAGGGGAAGGTTGGGGTGGCCAGGGCACTCAACGGCCTCATTGCAGGAGCCAGAAACTGCAGTCTAAGTGTCCCAGAAGGGGGCTGCTGGCTCAGGCAGGCAGCAGTGGAACCAGGAGTGCCTCCGGTGCCATCTGTATGCCTCGGTTTGTGCCCTTTGGGTTTCTCACCAGGCAAGGGCCTGGGAAGCCAAGCCAGTACTTTCCCCACGCCGCCCAAGGAAGGTGTGGGGCTCAGCTGATCTGGCCACACCTGATTACTCAGCAGAAACTTGTGTTTCTCCACCCAAACACCTTGATGTGCGCCTGGTGCCACAGACCTAAGAGATGGGTATGTCTGTGCTGAGCAAAGCCAGGTGCTCAATGCTGCTGCCTCTGTCCAGAACCCTTCATATCCCGTGTACTTTGCTTATGCTGTACTCAACATAGCGCAAAAAGCAAATGCCAAGGAGAAGCGCTGACGCAGCAGCACAATGCAGATAAAAGGAGTGAACCTTGTTTTGTGATTGTTGTCTTTTTCTCTGGTCCACACCTGGTGGTGCTGGGAATTGAGGCCAGGCGTGCACACACGAAGCCTGCGCCCTAGCCCTTGAGTCCTCTGCTGGCCTTGGGACCACCTGGTGGTCATAGGAACTGCCTTAATGGGGCACACATGTTTGGGAGCCAGCCCTGCCCTCCCACCTTGCTTGCAAGGGTAGTCTGCGGTCTGCGGAAGTTTCCGTGAGAAAGTCAGCAAGGATCTGGGTTGGGCTGGGCTGAGTGGCCTGCGGCCACTCGGGACTGCCTGACTCCAGCACCGCGTGACTGCACACAGGCTTCCCTTTGAAGTGGTGCCTCCAGCCCTCCTGCCCTTCCGCAGAGGAAGTGGGGTGTCCCCGCAGCTGTGCTGGCCCTTCTAGGATGGCAGATGGTCCAACCTAGCAACTTGTAAGGCAGAAGGTGACCCTCTGAGAACAACAAGGGTCTAGAGGGAAAGGGCAGCCAACAAGAGCTGAGGTTTGTGGGGGACTGGCCAGCTTGCGTGGGGGAAGTCGTCCACTCAACCCTGGGGCCGGAGACATTCACCAGAACATGCCCATCACGTGGTCGCTGCAAGGAGGAGGGGCTCTGTGGACTAGTCGGAGAATGATTTTATTCTTTCTGGGACCTCCGCACATCTCTAGCCTGGGGAGATAGGGGACAGCAGGCGCCAGAGAACCGGAGCTGCAGGGAAGGACAGGGCAGGAGCAAGACCCCAGCCGAGGGACGTCCTGGCACTGTCCCAGTGCCGCCATGCCGGGGCTGACCTCTGTCCAGCCAGAGGGTGAGGGTGAGGCGGCCAGCCTGGTGGGCCTGTGAACGGATTCCGGAGGAGTCGGCCCCCTTCCCGCTCCTGGGAGCGGCCATGTCTGTGCAAGGGACCTCAAGGGAGTGGCTGGACACCAACCTGACGGGGCCCCGGTGCCTAGAGGTGTCGGTTCCCGACGGGCTCTTCCTCAGCCTGGGGCTGGTGAGCCTGGTGGAAAACGTGCTGGTGGTGGCCGCCATCGCCAAGAACCGGGCCCTGCACTCGCCCATGTACTTCTTCATCTGCTGCCTGGCCGTGTCCGATCTTCTGGTGAGTGGCAGCCGCGTTCTGGAGACAGCTGTGCTGCTGCTGTTGGAAGCCAGTGCCCTGGCCCCCCAGGCCACAGCCCTGCAGCAGCTGGACGCTGCCACTGACGCGCTGCTCTGTAGCTCCATGGTGTCCAGCCTGTCCTTCCTGGGGGCCATCGCTGTGGACCGCTACATCTCCATCTTCTACGCACTGCGGTACCACAGCATCGTGACTCTGCCTCGGGCATGGTGGGCCATGGCGGCCATCTGGGCGGCCAGTGTCCTCTCCGGCACCCTCTCCGTGGCCTTCTACAACCACACGGCCGTTCTGCTTGGCCTCATCAGCTTCTTTGTGGCCATGCTGGCGCTTATGGCGGTGCTCTACCTGCACATGCTCGCCCGGGCCTGCCAGCACACCCGGGGCACCCCCCGGCCCCACAAGGCACGGCACCCCACCCGCCACGGCTTCTGCCTCAAGGGCGCGGCCACCCTCACCATGCTGCTGGGCACCTTCTTCCTCTGCTGGGGCCCCTTCTTCCTGCACCTCTCCCTCATCGTGCTCTGCCCTCAGCACCCCGCCTGCAGCTGCGTCTTCAAGAACTTCCCTCTCTCCCTGACCCTCATCATCTGCAACTCCATTGTTGACCCCCTCATCTACGCCTTCCGCAGCCAGGAGCTCCGGAGGACCCTGCGGGAGGAGCTGCTCTGCTCCTGGTGAGGGGGGCTAGCAAGAACGGCGAGCTTCGGTCGGTGTGTACATGGGGCCCCACCCCCACCGACTCCCGCCTGGTATGGTGGGTGCTGCAGAGAGACGGAGCTGCTGGAGGGGTGCTGTTTGCTCAAGGGGTCAGATCGGCAAAGAAGTGGCTTCTGGGCTGTCTGGACCCAGGGACAAGGTTGGGTGTATGTGGGGCGGCCCAGGGTGGGCACCCCCAGAAAACAGCGCCAGCCAATACTGGCTCAGGCCAAGGCTGAGCCAGTGACCGGGGCAGAGTCTCATAGCCAGGAGGTCAGCAATAAATGCTGTGCTTGGGACAGTCCTCTGCCTTGGCTCCTTCCAGAAACTGCTTGAAACTTAAACCCTTTGGCGCGCGGGGGGCTGGAGCGATAGCACAGCGGGGAGGGCATTTGCTTTGCACGCGGCCAATCCGCGTTTGATCCCCAGCATCTCACAGGATCCCCCAGCACCACCAGGAGTAATTCCTGAGTGCAGAGCCAGGTGTGACCCAAAGAGAGAGGGAAAAAAAAAAACCTTTAGCAGGGGTGGGGGGAGGTGTGTGTGGGGGGGGACAGGAGCAAGAATTGGATTCCACTGGAAGGGGGAAAGCCCTGGAACAGTCCAAAAGCCATACTGGGCTGTCCTGGGGGGAGCACACAGCACCTGCACACGCCTTTCTGTCCACCCCAAAACCCAGCCACACCCAGGTGACAGGACTAGGACAGTGGCTTTCAGCCGGCAGTCCGAGGGCCAGTGCTGGGCTGAGAACAGCATCACCACGTAGTATGCAGTGCGGGCCCTTACAGAATGGATGCAAACGGTGTAGGAGCACTGAATGCATAGTTTCTGTCAGGCTCAGGGAACTACACTCTCCACATACACGCACTAGGCTAGAACACTCCCCAGCTCCCTCACGGAGCATCCGCACAGCCCAGGACCCCATCCCCTTGCCAAAACCTGCCCTCCTTCAGTCCTGCCACTCCCCCTCCAGGTCTGCTAAGAGCCAGGGACAAGTTCTGGGAGCTGGAGTGTGGGTGATGGTTCCAGGATGGGGCACGGCTGCCAGTGGTGTCCAAGTCCAGGGAGTGGGCAGCTGGGTGGGCACACTCCTGGGCAGAGGTCCTGGCCTTCCTCTACTGCAGCCTGGGCATTTCTGTGAGGAGCCTCGGGGCTCAGGCAGTCTTCCCCTTCTTGGTACTCGGCAGTGCCCGCCCATGCTGGCAGCTGCCAGCCTGCTGCCGGTCTCTGGCGCAGGAGCCGGTTCCCGGCAGGGCCCTCCTCTGCCGAGACAGCAGTGAGTCAGCTCGGAGCCGCCCCGGCCCGCTGGGACTCCGGGGGCTGGCTCGGTGCCTCCCGGGGTGGGCGAGGCGCTCCGCGAGGCTCCTGGCGGGCCGAGGGGGACAGAGGCCCGCGCCAGAGCTCCAAGGGAGAGAGAGACAAAGACCACCCAGACCCCAGACGGGGGAGGGAGGGGCCGGTGCCGGCACCGCAAGGCGGCCGCGGGCACTGTGGGGGAGGGGCGCCTCCCGAGAACAAAGGGCTCATCGCCCAGCGGCCCAACAGCGGGGGTCTCCACACGCCCCCCGAGCGCGCACTCACCGGCCGGGTCGTCCGGGGACAGCAGAAGGGCCGGGCCGGCCCGGCGCCGCCGGCCGCGAGTCCAGCGCGCCCGGGACCCGCACACAAAGCCGCGGCGGCGGGGCGGCGCCCATTGTCCTCCGGGCGCGCCCCCGGAGCCGAGCGGCGGCCGCGCGCTCTGACGTCACGCGGCAGCACCCAGCGCGCTCCATTGGCCGGCCCGGTGACGTCACGCGGGGGGGCGGCGCGCGCTTATAAGGCGGCGGGGCGGCGGCGCTGCAGCAGCCCGGCCGCTCGCCGTCCCGCAGCACCGCGCACCGTCCAGCATGAGGGAGATCGTGCACATCCAGGCCGGCCAGTGCGGCAACCAGATCGGGGCCAAGGTGAGGGCGCGGGAGGGCGCGGGCGCGGGGCGTGGCGCCCGCCTCGCGTCGGCCCTGGCGGGACGGGCGGGGTCGGGGCAGCAGCTCCCCCGCGCCCGGAGCGACCCCGAGGGGCCGGGCGCGCCGCAGGACCCCCGCGTCCGGCCACCCTGGGGTCCCCCGCCCCACCCGTTCCTTTGTTCGGGGAGGGCTGGGCCCGACGCGGGGTGACCTTGGCCCGTGACTCGGCGGCCCCCGCGCGCACCGACCGGCCCCGCGGCCGCGCCCCCCGGGTCCGCGGGGCCCGCGAGTGGACGCGGAAGGTCGCCCGGCTCCAGCCGTGGGCACCGCCCTGCTCCGTGAACCACCCCCGAGACGCGGGACCCCGGCGGGCCGGGGTCCCCGCGCGCACCCGCAGCGGGGGCACGTCCCGGGCTCCGGCCCAAGGTCACGCCGCGGGACGCCCGGCCCGGGGCGCTGCGCGCGGGGCGCGGCGGGCGCAATGCGGGGTCCGCGGTCTTGTCAGTCAGCACCACGGCCAGGGACCTGGCGCGGGGTGGCTCCCGGGGGGCGGGGGAGGCCGGCGGGAGGCCGTCGCCAAGGAAACGGGCGAGAACAAAAAGCTAATTACCGGGGCTGGGGCGGCCACGTGGCTGACGTGGAAATTGCAAGTTGGGCTCGGGGACCCGCCCGGGGAGGCGCGGCGGGAGCCCGGGCGGGGCGGGGCGGGGCGGGACCCCCGCTCGCCCGTCTCCCACCTCGAGGTGACCCGCCTGGGTTCAAGGGCTCAGTTTGTTCACGGAGCCTGAACGTCGGCGCCTGCCAACAGTTGCCGTCGCAGAGACGTGTACTTGGGGTTTTCTTTCTTTTCCACCTCCGCCTTTGTGGACGGGCCTGGGGGGGTCCCGCGGGGACCGATCCCGTGCTCCAGGGGGCGGGGCAGGCTTTGGGCGTTAGCCGAAAGCAGGACCCTGACAAGAGCCCCCGGGCCGTGAGCTGGGCATCGCCCGGCCCCCAGGACGAGCCCAGCGGCTCGCGGAGGCGGGAGTTCAGGTCTGCGCGGACGCGGCACAGTGGGCAGGGGCCACGGAGCCCCCGCGCCGCCGGGACCCCCATCGGCCCTTGAAAGGCGGGGCTGAGCCCGCGCCTTTGTCTCCGCTCTTGGGGCTGGGCGGGGCTGGGGGGCGGGCCCGGCGCTGGCAGCCAATGGCAAGAGGAGTTTTCTGGAACCCTCGCGGACCGGGCATCGAGAGCCCGACAGGGTAGCCCGGCCACGGGGGAAGCCCAGCGCCCACTTCTCCCAGGCGCGCCGCAGCCGCAGCCGCAGCCAGCAGCACCCGAGCGCGCCCCGGGATGGATCAGCACCGTGGACAGCGCCCGGCCTCCTCAGACCTCCGTGGGATCTTTTCTCTTAATGAGCCTCCTCTTTGTTCTTTATTTACCTTATAACATTGTAACTGCTATCTAATTATCAAATTACTTTATTTTTTAATTACTATAGTTTAGGGAAGATGTTTACTATGAGCGCTGACGTCTGTTAATGTACAATTACTGCCTCGCCACCACCAGATGCATATACCATCTACTAAATGTTAAGGAATACCTTTTGCAAGTAAGATATGTATCATTTTAAAGTACAATTTATGGGGCCGGAGAGACAGTACAGCGGGTAAGGTACTTGCACTCGGTGGTCAATCCGAATGGGACCCTGCCAAGGAGTGACCTCTGAGTACTCCAAACTGTTTTAATTATTTAGTTACAAAAGCAAATGTTAGTGTTTTCTATCTCTCTCTGGAAACAGTGGACAGTTGTAGGTAAGAGTTGTTTCTCCATCTGGCCTCCTCCAATGGGCACTTGGTTTCCTCTCCTAGGCTCTCTGTTCATTGCAAGCCAAACTCTGGGAAGATGGAGGGTCCTTTTTTACTATTGATTCTTTCATGATTGACGTGAGACTTGGATGAGGAACCACCTACCACTGTATTCCACTGTATACAAATGTTTTTAGGCCACACCCAGTGGCAGTACTAAGGCAGGGCTTAGGTGACCATATAGGATGCTGGGAATTAAACTTGGGTTGGTTATGTGTGAGACAATTGCCCTACCCACTATACTATCTTCCCTGTATATTGATTCTTCAAAAAAAATTTTTTTATTGAATCACAGTGAGACACACAGTTACAAGGTACAAGGCTGTTTATGATTAAGTTTCAGTCATAACATTCCAACACCCATCCCTTCACCAGTGTACATTTCTCACCACCAGTGTCCCCAGTTTCCCTCCCGCCCTGCCCCCCACCCCCTGCTTCTGTACAGGCACTTCTCTCACTTCTCTCCCTCTCTCTCCCCCTCCCTCTCTCCCTCTCTCTCCCCCTCCCTCCCTCTTCCTCCCTCTCCCTGCCCTTTATATTATATTCTTAAACCAACTTTCATTTGACTTGCTATCAGTGAACACGACTGTATACATTTCAGTACCTCCAAGTAAGTCCCTTTTACTTGGTAAAGTCAACACTGCCAAGTGCTTTGTGGTGGCCTGCAGTGCCTATCGCTATGACCCTCATGTCCACCTCACAGGGCAGTATCTCAGGCATTGTTGTTGGTGCCCTGGATGGCACTGGACCCCATGCTCACACCTATGTGTGCGGTCTCTCTCTCAGCCTTATTTCCTCAAAGTCAAGCTTCTGTTACAGGAGTTGGGGTGTCCTGAAGCCAGAGGTTTGGAGTGGCCAGCACAGGGGGACCCATGATCCCCACACTTGGACGGCAGTGGCACAGGGACCCAGAAATGAAAAGGAACTGTACTTGTAGGCCCTGATGCACCTTGATGCTGCTGTGTTACATGTGCAAGTGGATGTGTGATGAATGTGAGTGAAATGTGTTTGAGTATATGTGAGAGTATGAATGCCTGTGAGTGGATGTGTGGATGTATGTGAGAGTGAGTGTATGAGATAATGTGTGAGTGTGAATGTAGGTGAGAGTGGTGAGTGTATGTGAGAGTTTAAGTGAGTGTGTGAGAGTTTGAGTGTGAATGTATGTGAGAATGTGGTGTGTGAGAATGAATGTATGTGTGTGAGTGTATATGAGTGTGTGGGTGGATGGGAGTGAGTATATGTGTGTGAATGCATGTCAGTGTATATGAGTCTGTGAGTGGATGTGTGTGTGAATGTATGTGATTGTATATGAGTATGTGAGTGTGAGTGGATGTGTGAATATATGAATATGTGGTGTGTGAGTGGATGAGTATGTATGTGAGTGATGAGTGCCACGTATTAGTGTGGGAACGAGTGTGTGTGGTATGAATGTGTGTGTAAGTGAGCTAGTGAATGCGTGTGAATGGTTTGTGGTCTGTGTAGTGTGTATGTGTCTGATGTGTTTATGTGTGAGTGTGTGGTCTGTGTAGTGTGTATGTGGGTGTGTGTATTATGTTTATGTATGGCGTGTGGTTTGTGTGGCATGTGTGTGGTATATGTATGAATGTGTGTGTTCTCTAGTTTCATAGTTTACCGCACAATGAAATATAAGAAAATGTAGCAGTGAGAAAGGTGTGTAACAGGCAGAGAGAACAACCCCGCCCTTGCCAAGAGACACCACCATCAGTCTCTGGTGGACTGTATGTAGTTTATAATGATGACCCTGTTCACACTTTACAGCTTTAACAAAATAACTTTATCACTTTTATTTATTGTTGTTATTTTGGTTTATTTTGGAGGCCACATGCTTTGGTGCTCAGGGGCTACTCCTAACTCTGTACTTGGGAATTGCCCTGGTAGTGCTTTAAGGATCATGAGGTGCTGGGAACACACTCCAGGCCTCCTACATACAAAGCACCCTCGCAGCCCATTGAGCTCTGTCTCCCCAAATTATTTAAAACCCATCTTTTCTTTCCTTTGGGAAGTTAACATGACAATTCCAGGGCACCTGGCCCAGCCACTAGCTGGAGCTAAACGCTCTGTTGGAGCAGGACCTCTGGGTCAGCAATGGACGCCTGTCCCCCACAGGTGCTCTAGTCTCTGATCGTCTCCCTAACTCCCCCCTCTCTCTTTGGGGGCACACTCAGCAGTGCTTAGGGCTGACTCGTGGCTCTGCACTCAGGGATCACTCCTGGTGGCTTGAGAACCTTACGAGGTGTGGGGATCTAACCCGGGTCAGCTTTTTGCAAGGCGAGAGCCCTCCCCACTGCACTACCTTTCCAGCCCTCTAAGTGGTTTTCCACCCAGCAATCAGCCAGCATGTCATTGGCATGTTCAGAGTCCTTACATTTCTCACACCCTGACCTTCTCTGGAAGTCAGCCCATCCCTAAGGAGCAGAGGTGCAGCACAGTGTGAGAGCACGGCTTCCCGCCAGCACGAACCTCTGCTCCCAGCTGCCTGGAGGGCTGCTGGGGCTTCTGCAGCCATCCCTGAGTGGAGCCGTTCTGTGCACACTGTCCCATGTCTCACTCGCTGCATTTGCATAGATCCGCTTCAGGACTGAACAGAGGGGCATCAGGCAGAGTCCTGGGAACCTCCCCAAGGTCCCATGCCTGGGGAGGGGGCTTCCCTCTGCCTTGTGCCTGCCTGCCAAGGGCAGTAGCTCTAAGTGCAAGGCTAGGGAACCTCTATCCACTCACACCCCTGCGATTCCCTGTGGCTAAAGGGTGACCTGCGGGAGCACTGGGCTTACGGAGGGTCACACTTCCTGGGACCTCAGTCTCTGCATCTGGAGACAAATGATGAAAACCACTGGAGCGTGTGGAGAGGGGGAGTGTCCCAGGTCCCTGGCGAGTGAGCGCAGTGCTGGGTCTGGGGGCCCAGCACTCACAGTTGAACAAGCCCAGGATGCCCTGGGCCCCGGAGAGCTCATCTGCTTGCTTACGGCTGCACTTTTATGGCAGTTTGAGATCTTTTCCAACGACGATCAAAGGAGCTGATGTAGGCCTGCAGTTCACGCCTCTAATTTAAGAAAAACCCTGTATATTGCAGTGGAAGCCACACCCAGCTCTGCTCTGCATCCAGCCGCAACTGCAGATCAAACTCTATAATCCAGGGCTACAAGGCTTGGGGTGGGGTCCTGTTTGCTTACTGAACTGTCCTTCTCCCCTCCCCCCACAGTTCTGGGAGGTCATCAGCGATGAGCACGGCATAGACCCCAGCGGCAATTATGTGGGGGACTCCGATCTGCAGCTGGAGCGCATCAGCGTCTACTACAACGAGGCCTCTTGTGAGCCCACCCACCCACACTGGGAAGGGAGGCCGGGGAGGGAGACAGAGAGCGGGAGGCAGGGAGCTTAGCTGGGCCGGCTTGGGAGTTGGGGTCGGTGGGGTGGTCTGGAGGGCTCAGGCAGAGTAACTGGAGGATAGGAGAGTGCTGCCTAGACTGTGTTTGTAATGGGGCCAGAGCAGTAGCACAGTGGGGAGGGCATTTGCCTTGCATGCAGCTGGCCTGAGTTCAATCCCTGGCACCCCATTTGGTTCCCCAAGCCCACCAGGCGTGAGCGCTGAGTGCAGAGGCAGGAGTAAGCCCTGAGCACTGCTCCCAAAACAATAATATTAATAATAAACCAAGGGGCTGGAGCAATAGCACAGCGGGGAAGGCATTTGCTTTGCAAGCGGCCAACACGAGTTCAATTCCCAGCATCCTCTATGGTCCCCTGAGCACTTCCAGGACTAATTCCTGAGTGCAGGCCAGGAATAACCCTGGTGCATTGCTGGGTGTGACCCAAAAAGAAAAAAATATATATATAATAAACCAAACTGATGAATTACTGACCCACCCACATGGATGTGGGGTCGTGCTGACGGCCCAGGGCCCCCTTACGGTGAGACTGAAGATGGAGAGACAGACTCACCTCCAGTGCAGGTCCCAGCTACAGGCCCTGCCTTGAATTCTGACAGGCTAGGATCAGGCAGAGCCTGACCCTGGGCCACTCACACTCACCTTCTCCCCTCAGCTCACAAGTATGTGCCTCGGGCCATCCTAGTGGATCTGGAACCCGGGACCATGGACAGTGTCCGGTCAGGAGTGTTTGGGCACCTCTTCAGGCCTGACAACTTCATCTTTGGTGAGTTTCCCCTGCCCCATGCTCAGGGTGGTTCAATGTAGGCAACCCCAAGAAATGAAAGAGCACCCCTCCTCTGTGCAGAGAAGTATTTCCTGGCTCATAGCCAGCGGTGGAGGTCCCCAGAGAGATGTGCCACTTAGAACTATGCATTTGTGCAAGCAAGTGGCATAGAGCAGAGAATCAGGTGCACAGCCCTAGAGCAGAGAAGCAGAGAGCTCTCAGCCTCACTCCCACGCTGTGCCCGTGACCATGAGCTGGCCTATTCCCAGGACTGGGTGACAGGGTGCTTGGTGCTCACCCCCCTTCTGCCCTCAGAGCTTCACGTACGAACAGGCCTGTTAGTTGTTAGCATCCGGCTCCGCAGCCAGAGGGCATGCGTGCTCTGGCGGTCATGGACCAGTCCAGGTCCCCTGGTGGTCAGTTTTACCCAAAGCACTGAACAGTGGGTCCCAGCAGCAGAGACCCCAGTACACCGTGAGCGGGGTGGGAGGAGCAGGAAGCTGGGTTCCATGGACCACCCCACTTTGTGGGAAGGAAAGGTTTCCCTAAGTACCACTTGGGGAGAGATGTTCATCATGGCCCCTCCCTGTCCCCATGACAGGTCAGAGTGGAGCAGGCAACAACTGGGCCAAGGGTCACTATACGGAGGGAGCAGAGCTGGTGGACTCGGTCCTGGATGTGGTACGGAAGGAGTGTGAGAATTGCGACTGTCTGCAGGGCTTCCAGCTCACCCACTCCCTGGGTGGGGGCACGGGCTCGGGCATGGGCACACTGCTCATCAGCAAGGTCCGCGAGGAGTACCCCGACCGCATCATGAACACCTTCAGTGTGGTGCCCTCGCCCAAGGTGTCGGACACGGTGGTGGAGCCCTACAACGCCACCCTGTCCATCCATCAGCTGGTGGAGAACACTGACGAGACCTACTGCATTGACAATGAGGCGCTGTACGACATCTGCTTCCGCACCCTTAAGCTGGCCACGCCCACCTATGGCGACCTCAACCACCTCGTGTCGGCCACCATGAGTGGGGTGACCACTTCCCTGCGCTTCCCTGGCCAGCTCAACGCCGACCTGCGCAAGTTGGCTGTGAACATGGTGCCCTTCCCGCGCCTGCACTTCTTCATGCCCGGCTTTGCCCCACTCACAGCCCGGGGCAGCCAGCAGTACCGCGCCCTGACTGTGCCCGAGCTCACCCAGCAGATGTTTGATGCCAAGAACATGATGGCCGCCTGCGACCCACGCCACGGCCGCTACCTGACAGTGGCCACTGTTTTCCGTGGTCGCATGTCCATGAAGGAGGTGGACGAGCAGATGTTGGCTATCCAGAGCAAGAACAGCAGCTACTTCGTGGAGTGGATCCCCAATAACGTGAAGGTGGCCGTGTGTGACATCCCGCCCCGTGGTCTGAAGATGTCCTCCACCTTCATCGGCAACAGCACGGCCATCCAGGAGCTGTTCAAACGCATCTCCGAGCAGTTCACAGCCATGTTCCGCCGCAAGGCCTTCCTGCACTGGTACACAGGCGAGGGCATGGATGAGATGGAGTTCACTGAAGCTGAGAGCAACATGAACGACCTGGTGTCCGAATACCAGCAGTACCAGGATGCCACGGCCGAGGAGGAGGGTGAGATGTATGAAGATGATGAGGAAGAGTCAGAGGCACAGGGCCCTAAGTGAGGCTGCTGACGGGCGTGGCTAGGTGGTCTCCAGGGTCCTGCCGTCAGTGATGTCCCCGCCTGGCCCTCAGCCTACTCACCTCACATGTGGGCTCCCAAGTTTGCCCTCAGTGCTCCTGGTGCCCGCTCAGTACACCTGGTTTCCCCACGGAGCGTCCCCTTCTTTTCGTGTTGCTTGTCTGTCTGCTTCCTGTGGGCACCAGGCCTGATGTTTTATGGCATTTTTTTTTAATGGTTTATGTTTCTATTGGGGAGGGATACTTAATAAACTTACTGCTGTCAAATGCCTCTGCTTGCAGGGTATTTCTTTTTGTTTTGAGGAGTTGGTCCAGGGTTGAGGAGGGGCTGATGGGGGAGCCAGGGCAGAGCGGGGGAGGCAAGTCCTGGGCACTGTCACCTTGGGAGCAGAGGGTACGTGGTGAAGCCTCACCCAGACCTGTTGAGTTCCATAGCTCTTGGGAGTGCTGCCGCCCTGTTCATCCGAGACCCCTCTGGGTGGGGGGCCACAAGCACTCCTTGAAGTAAGTGTGGTTGGCTAGAGAGGGAACACAGAGGCTTTGCTTGTGGTGCACCTGTTTCCAATCCCCAGCATCACATGGGGGATTGAAATGATGGAAACGTCTCTTCATAAATGATTCCTGAGCACCAAGCCAGGAGTGAGCCCTGCCTGAACATTGCCAAGTTTGCCCTCCACCAAGAAAAAAGGTTGATGGTGATACAAGGGCTTGAGGCCTGGGGCATGGCTTGGAGGTAGAGCACCAACCTTGCAGTTTGACCCTTGGCCCCACCCACATTTCCAAGTACAACCCCAGCGCTGCTGGTAGGGTCCCTGGTGCTGCAAGAGGCACAACCCCTGAAAGGCAGAAAAGGTGGAAAGGTCAGGTACTTTGCACACGGCTACCCAGCCCCAGTTCCATTCCCAGCATCCCATATGGTGCCCTGAGCACTACCGGGGGTCACTCTTGAGCACAGAGGCAAGAATAAACCCTAAGCACCTCAAGCATGGAGGCAGGAATAAACCCGAAGCACCTCCAGGTGTGACCCAAACCCAGCCCTCTTATTAGAAGTGCAGTCTCCAGCTCAGCAAAGCCCAGCGTGTGAGCACTCCTCACTGACCATTAACAACAAAGGGGCAGGAAGGGGGAAAGTGGGGATACTGCCCAGCAGGACAAGTCCTTCTTGCACGCCTCAGCAGCCCGGAGACAAGAGTCACCTCATGGAATGAGACTGCCCAGGCTTCCCCCGTAACCGACGGGGTGTTCTCTAACCCCTGCCGTGAGCCCTCGCTGGCCCTGCTCCAAACGGCAAGCTCAAAGGTAGACAAGGGACACCTGTGGGCGTTCGTGGTTCCACCTCCCTCCCCTCCCCTCCGCCACTTACACAGGAAAATCTTCCAGAGTGTTCCCCCCAAGTCCTCCCCAAGGGGTCATGGGATCCCAGTTCTGGCCTGAGTAGGGGGGACTGTACTACTTTGTGCTCGGATGATGGCCACCGGGGCTGTTCTGGCTTGGGGTGCTGCCTGTGACCAGTCGTCCCTTCACTACTCCCCCTCAGAGCCACCCCAAGTCCAGCCTGAACTTCCAGTTGGGGCTGCAGGGAGTTCCAGTGCGGAGAGGGAGCCGCTCCTAGCCCTCTCCCCTCCCACCAGCCCCTCCTTTCTAGTATACATGGGTTTTTGGGTCACCCCTGGCAGTGCTCAGGGGACCATACCGGCTAAGGAGGATGAACCTAGGCCAGCCACCTGCAGTGCACAGGCCCTCCCCATGGTGCTCTGACTCCAGCCCAGGAGGGGCCGTATTCTGTGTGTTTTTCTTTGTTGCTGCAGGGATGCAGAATGCTTGCTGGGTGGTGGTGGGAGGAAGGCTCAGCGCCCCTCTTCTCCCTACAGTGTCACCTGTGAAGAGAGGCACCACGTGGGAATCCCGCACACTCACAAGCCTCCCTAGAGGGTGGCAGTGCTCCCAGACATGGAATCCGAGCACCTTGGGAGGCCGGAACAGACCAGCAAATGGGCCTCTGTACACAGCACAACACCATGTCCTGGGGCCCAGAGGTGGTCAGCAGCAGCAGGACCCCTCCAGCTAGTTAGGGTCTGCAAGCTCTCACTCTGTGAACCCAGTCGAAGTCTGCATGGAACAGGCTTGTGGCTGCCAGGGGCTAGGGCCGGGGTGAAGAGGGGTTTCTGATCAATGGGTGTAAAGCTTTGGTGATGAACAGGATGTGTAAGGGCAGAGAAAGTGCTACAGAGAACTGTGAGTGCAAAGATCTGTCAGAGGTACAGCCCATGTACGTGTTCACACCACAGCAAAATAAAAATGCTAAAGATTTGGGGGCTGGAGAGATAGCACAGCGGGTAGGGCTTTTGCCTGGCCAACCCGGGTTGGGTTCCCAGCATCCCATAGGGTCCCCTGAGCACCACCAGGAGTAACTCTTGAATGCAGAGCCAGGAGTAACCTCTGTGCATCGCCGGGTGTGACTCAAAAAAAAAGGCAAAAAAAAATTTTTTTTTAAAAGTTAGAGATTGGGACTGTTCTCTGCTCAGGTGCGCCAGCGGGGAAGCTGATGCCATCAGATGTTGGCAAGGACCGGAGGGCCCTATGGCCACACCAGCGGGAACATGATGGCACCTTCGCCTTTGGGAAAAGCTTCACTGGATTCTCAGACGGCCGCGCAGGTACACTGTCCACAGAGCAGCCTCTCCACTCCCAAGTGTCTGTTTCCTCAGCTGGCCTGTGCCAGGGCCTGGCGCTCACTGAGTGTGTAGGACAGTGCAGAAGTGGTCGTGGGTCATTCTAAAGGAGAGGGGCCAGACACATCAATCATTTTTTTTCTTAAAAGGAATAATACAACGGGAAGGGCGCTTGCCCTGCACATGGAAGAGGCAGGTTTGATCTCTGGCGTCCCACACGGTCCCCCTGGCACACCAGGAATGATTCCTGAGGGCAGAGCCAGGAGTGACCCTGAGCGTCACTGGTGCGGCCTCAGAGTTAGAATGGATAAAAATACAAAATAGGAAGAGCTTGAACTGCACGAGGAACATGAGAACGTCGTTTGTCTTCTTGGAGGTGGCCGAGGTTGTCAGGGCTGGGCAGAGAAGTGGCGTGATTGGCACATCAGAGGGACCGTCCAGCGGCAGGTGGACTCACCGTTCTTCGTCCAGGCAGCCCCTTCTCCAGGCCAGGCGCCTCCGCTCCTGCTTGCACAGGCCCTTGTCCAGCACAGACCGCAAGAAAAGTGAGGGGACGCCAGGTGGACGCGAGGGATGCGGGGGGCGCGTTGCGGGGTGGGGCCCGGTGGAGCGGGCGGGGGGCGCCGAGCGGGCGCGGGGAGGCGGGGAGGCGGGGAGGGGGCGGGCGCGGAGGGGCGCGGCCGCCGGCGCCCGCTTGCCATGGGCCTCCGGGCCGCAGGGGGCAGCAGCGGGCCGGGCCGGGGCGGGGCGGGCCGGGGCGGGGCGGGGGATGTGACCCGGCGGCGGCGGCGGCGGCGGCGGCGGCAGGTGAGCGCGGCCCAAGGGGTCCCCGGGCGCAGGGGCGCGGCCCGGGGGGCGCGGGGCGGGCGCGGGGGCCCCGCGGGGCCGGGGGCGCGCTCGGCGCCCTGGGGGTCCCGGACCCGCCTCCCGGTGCCGTGTCGCGGGCGGCGCCGCCGTGCCCGGCCCGGTCCGCGGTCCGGACGGGCCGTCTGGGCGGCACCGCCTGCGGGGCGCGGCTCGCGGGCCCCGTGCCCGTGGGGTGGTCGGGACGCGGCGCCGCGGGGGAGGCGGGGCGGGCGCCGGGCCGGTTCCGGAGCCCCCGGCGGCCGGGCGTGGGCGGGGGGCGCGCCCGAGCCCGCGCCCGCCCCGCCCCGCCCGGCCCGCAGCCTCCCGGGCCCGGTGACCTTCGCGGCTGGAGCCCGCGGGCCGCGCTTGGCCGCTCCCACGCCGAGGGTCCCGCCGCTGCTCCCCTCGCTCCCCGCCAGGCGGGTCCGGGCGCCCGTCTCCGGGGGCTGCGCACCGGGATGCGCGCGGGACCCTCTCCCGGCGCCAGCGCGCCCCAGGCGCAGTGCGCAGGCTCGCGGCGGGCTTCCGCGGCGCTCGCCCCCTGCGACCCCAGGAGGGTCCCCCGCACGCACTCCGGGCCCCGAGGTGGGGCTGGTCTTCGCGTGCGGGTGAAATGGGCACGCCGCCACCCCCTCAGGCGCGGGCATCCTCCGGGCAGGTGACCCAGTCACTCGGCTCGGCACCAGCAGAGCCGGAATACTTCAGGACTGACTGGTTCGTGGGGGTGGGGTGGGCGTGGGCCCGGAGCCGCCTGAGGCCCCCTCCCCCATTCTGATCCGGAGGTGCCGGTCCTAGCCAGCGTCCCCACCCAGGTCCACGCTGCAGGGTGAGTCCCAGAGGGGAGGCTGTCGCCCTCCGCGCCCCCGCCCCAGGTTTCCTAGGAGCAGGGCAGACCCAGTCTGGAATACCTCTTGCCGCAATGGATGTGGAGACTTTTGCTGCGGGGGGATGGAACCCGAGCCCCCACCCCACCCAGCAGCCCCTGGCCCACACCTCTGTCGAACAGTTTCCAGGTGGCACACGCTGATGCAGCCCAGCTAGGTGGAGGGGAGGGACCTGGGATATGCCCCCTCCATCCATCCACAGCTGCTCCCCCACTGCAGAGCCTCGCTGAGCTCCAGGGACCGCCAGCCAGTGCCAGGTGGTGCAGTGGGTGGCCCCTCTCTGTGCCTGGGTGCTGTGGCATGGGGCCCAGGTGACGCAGGCACACACGGTCTGAGTCCCCGACTGTCCAGCTCGATCCTGTGCAGGCTGGCCTTTAGGGACCAGAGCTTGGGGGAGCAGCCGGCCCACCCTGGAGCTGTCTCCCGGGCTCATGGTGAGGGCCAGCTGGAGTGCCGAAGGAGGGTGGGCGCAGGTGGGTGTCTGTTGGGGAGCCGGGCTTCCTGGCTGGGTATGGTCTGCTGGGCCGTGCCCTCCCTCCGCGGCTGTGTCATCCAGGTGCCAGGAGCCGGTACACCGCCGCTTTCCTGAGCAGGGCTGAGCTGATTCTGCAGCCAGAGGCGGGGTCCCTCTTGGGGCAACTGAACAGGAGTGTCACCCCCCCCACACAAACACTCCAGGGACAGAACTGGTCCGGCCTGCTCTGCAGTCCACGGGTGGGATGCTATGGAATATGATGAGAAGCTGGCCCGGTTCCGGCAGGCCCACCTCAACCCCTTCAACAAGAAGCTGGGCCTAAGGCACCATGAGCCAGACGCGGGTGAGGACAGACCAGACAGCCCTGGTGAAGGTGGGTGCTGGGTACCCAGGTGTGGACCCCCCACACCCTGTGCTGTCAGGAGCCCTCCCTGGAGACGCCCTGTGATCAGGCTGGGAAGTTCCCTGGCTAAGGCCTAGCTCCTCTGACGGTTCTGTTCAGGAGCTCCAAAGGACAGAGCCCAGAGGGTGTCAGCCAAGGGGTGGGGGGTGGGTGGGCACCCCACAGGGCTCAGGACCCCACCCACACCCTGTCTGCCCCCAGGCTTCCTGACCCTGCATTCAATCTCTGCATGAAGTGGTTCCTCCAGGGCAGGGCTGGCCAGCAGCAGGCTCAGTGGCCCAGACTCTGCCCCTCCCTGCCTTTCCTCTGTTACCACCCTCCCCCACCAGGGCTGACCCAGTCTCCTTCCCTGCACCCCCAGAGGCCCCGCCTGAGCTGCCCACCGAGGAACTGGAGTTCCATTGTTCAGAGCGAGTGATGGACTTGGGGCTGGCCGAAGATCATTTCTCCCGTCCTGTGGTAAGGTTGGGGGCGACAGGGCAGCTGTTTCCTGCCCCCTCCCTCAGGTGGTCTCTTGTTTACCCTCACCAAGCTGCCTGAACCCCAGATCTGAGGCCTGTGACCAACCCGTCTACCTGAATCCTATTTGCAGGCTGGTGGAGTGAGGCTGATATTAGAGGCCTCACACCCCACGCCTAGGCCGCTGGCTCATGTGCCACTGTGGGGGTCACTCAGCTTCTTGCGGGAGTGGTGCTGGGGGCGCTTCCACCTCTGTCCGCCCAGTGGACTTGTAGGTCAGGGTTAGGGTGTTTGCGCCACGTGTGGCTTGCCCGGCTCCATCCCCAGCACCTCAGGGCCTGGGAGGTGCTGGGAAGGTAGGTCTCTGCACAGGGAGGCTGGTGCCCTGATGCCCCTTCCTTCCCTCCTTCCAGCTAGAGCAGTGATGGGGCTTCGGCGGAGCCCCCAGAGGGAACTGGCAGTGGCCTGAGGTTCTGTGGCTTCCCCTGACCCCCTCAAGTCGCAGCATGGGGTGCTTTGCTCTGGGCCAGGCTAGCTGTGAGGGCCCTTGGCCGGGAGCACTGGTGACTTTCACCACTGCCCTCCTCCCTGCAAGGGCCTGTTCCTGGCCTCGGATGTGCAGCAGCTGCGCCAGGCCATCGAGGACTGCAAGCAGGTGATCCTGGACCTTCCTGAGCACTCTGAGAAGCAGAAGGACGCTGTGGTCCGGCTCATCCACCTGCGGCTGAAGCTCCAGGAGCTGAAGGTGTGCAGAGGCAGCGGGTGGGAGGTGGCAGCTGGGGGTCTCTGGTTCCTGCCTGCATCGACCAAGCTTGGCTTTGTCTTCTGGGGCCAGCAGGGGAGGGTGGTCACTCCCGCCATGTGCAGGCAACTACAGGGTGGGCTGGACCTCACCACTCAGTGGTTCCTTACTGCCATAAGCCACAGGGTCACCTGGGGAGACGCGTGCTGTCTGCCGTGGGTGGTATCTGAGGAGCAAGACATTCCCTGTGATGGGGGTGGGCCGCGACTCTGCTTCTCCCTCAGGACCCCAATGAGGACGAGCCCAACCTCCGAGTCCTTCTGGAGCACCGATTCTACAAAGAGAAGAGCAAGAGTGTGAAGCAGACGTGTGACAAGTGCAACACCATCATCTGGGGGCTCATTCAGACGTGGTACACCTGCACAGGTGGGTGAGACTTGCCCCTGCCCCCTGCTGGGGCCTCTCAGGAGAATTCTCTGCTAAGGGCTAGGTGGACCCTGTCTGCTGGGGATGCGGCTAGGGGCAGTAAAGCCTGGTGTTTGGGCTGCTGGTAGCTAACCACATATGGCAATTTAAATTTAAATCTGCTTGAAGTATTTGACTCACCTTCACTGTGGATGAGCTGCTCCAGGTGAGAAGTCAAGGGAGAGGAGGGAAGAAGAGCAGAGCCTTTGTCGGGGGATGGGTGTGCGTTAGGGAGGGATGGACGGTTCATGAGACATTTAAGCAGAAATTGGGGCTGGGGGGTGGGTGGTCTCTGGGAGGGTATTCCTGTGGGGGAGCTGTCAGTGTCAGGGTCCCATCAAGGAGCACCATGTCTGGCACTGGGCTCTGGGATCCCTGAGCTTTCCTTGCCGTGCTCTGAGCCCAGAGAGGTGCTGGCAGGACTCCAGTCGGCTGGTGGAGGAGTGAGTGCTCTGGTGGGGGAGGAACCGGGGGCCAAGATAGGGTTCACCGAGGGGTCAGAATTAGGTGCAAGGAACCTCGGCTGTGTCTCGGCAGCTGGCACGGCTGGAGTCAAGGTCAGGCTGTGTGTACTGAGTCTGGGAGGAGCCAGGGCCCCTGAGAACAAGGCGTCCTTTGGTGTCCCTGCGGGCCTGCAGGTCAGCCCTGGACTTGGAGCCTGGAACTGGTGCTGCATGGCCGGGAAGGCTACGGGGCTCTTGTGGTGGGGGCAAGGGGTTTCCACGGTTTGGGGACCCACAGAGGAACTGCTGGCTGATGGTGGGGTCAGAGCTGGTCGCTGGCCCAGGCCCTCCATGCCTCTAAGGGCTCCTTGTCGGTTCCTGGTGTAGGGTGCTACTACCGATGTCACAGCAAGTGCTTGAACCTCATCTCCAAGCCCTGTGTACGCGCCAAAGTCAGCCACCAGGCCGAGTATGAGCTGAGCATCTGCCCTGAGACGGGGCTGGACAGCCAGGATTACCGCTGTGCCGAGTGCCGGGCACCCATCTCTCTGCGTGAGTCAGGGCAGGACAGGACAGGAGAGAGGCAGGCCGACAAAGCAGCTCACCCACAGTGCTGGCGGCCCACAGCACTGTCCCTGCCCACATGCTGCCGGTCCCCATGCAGGCCACCTGACACCTGAGGGGAGGGAGCCGGAGGGCACACAGACATTTGATGTCCCTTCTTGGGATCTCCCAGGGGTCCCTTCACGGTCCCATTCACTGATGAGAAAATCGAGGACAGGGTGCCTCCACCCAAGAGGTTGGCTGCTCCGAGAGCAATTGGGCACCCCGGCCCAGACAGGGGCCATCTACAGGACAGGTGTCTGCAGTCACTGTGTGCTGAGAACATTCTGATTATTTGGGGGATTTGGGGCTTTTTCATGGAGGGGGCTTAAGCCATGCCCAGCAGTGCTCAGGGCTTCTTCCTTTGACTCAGTACTTGGGGCTTTTTCATGGAGGGGGCTTAAGCCATGCCCAGCAGTGCTCAGGGCTTCTTCCTTTGACTCAGTACTCAGCGATCACTTCTGGAGGTGCTTGGATGACCGGGGATGGATACCGGGGATGAAACCGGGGCAGGTTCTGGGGGTGCTTGGGGCTGGTCCTGGCCAGTTTGGGGGACACTGCCAGCAGCACTTGGGGGACCCTCTGGTGATGGGGACCAAGCCCTGGGTCTTGGCTGGGTGTGCCCTGCCCTCAGCCCCACTCTGTGTCTGCACAGGTGGGGTGCCCAGCGAGGCGCGGCAGTGTGACTACACCGGTCAGTACTACTGCAGCCACTGCCACTGGAATGACCTGGCCGTCATCCCCGCCCGGGTGGTGCATAACTGGGACTTCGAGCCCCGCAAGGTGAGTAGCCAGGGCTCTGGGGGAGGGTGCAGAGGCAGGGATGCAGCCAGCCGGTGGGGGTCTCGGTCCGAGTGTGAAGAGGGGATGTGCCTCTGCCCAGGTTTCCCGCTGCAGCATGCGCTACCTGGCACTGATGGTGTCGCGGCCGGTGCTCCGACTCCGGGAGATCAACCCTCTGCTGTTCAACTACGTGGAGCAGCTGGTGGAGATCCGGGTGGGTGGGGCAGGCACGGACTTGTGGGGGACAGTGGGTGTGGGATGAGTGTGGGTGGTTTCTGACGGCCATGGGGTCGGGGTGTGGGGCAGGTGTGGGTTGAAGTTTGGATCTTGCTTTAGGCAAAGCGTGATGAGCTGCTAAGGCCACTTGGACTGAGGCTGACTGGGAATTCTAGTCCTCGTCAGGTGTGGCCCCCACTGGCCCCGAGCCTGGGCTGTCTGCACTGTCCAGTATGGTCCAGTGGGCCTCTGCAGGGCTGCGGTGGAAGGACAGAGCATGGAGAGACCTCAGGGGCTTGCCCAGCCTGGTCGTACATGTTTTGGGAGCACCGACACTGGGCAGTTCTTGTCCTCTCTGGTCCACAGAAAACATGACATTCCCTTACAAAGCAGCACTGGGCTGCCTCTCAGCGGGGCACTCAGGCCGCCTCTGCCCTGCCCTGGTGCAGCCCTGTGCTCCTGAAGGACCAGTGCCACCTCTTCGGTAAGTCATGCTGCTGACAAAAGCCTGTGAGTGCCCCGCCCTGCCGTCCGCAGAAGCTCCGCCAGGACATCCTGCTCATGAAGCCGTACCTCCTCACGTGCAGGGAGGCCATGGATGCACGGCTGCTCCTGCAGGTCAGTTGTGGACGCGGGCCCGGGAGGACTCACTGGTCGCCGCCGGGAGAGCCACGTCCACACAGAGGGCACCCTCGGCCGTGGGAGGTTGAGGAAGCGGGTCTGGAGGGGCAGCTGTAGCTGCCCGGGCCAGAATCGCCATCGAATAGTCCTCAAGAATCACCTGTTGGTCCAAGAAATAGTACAGGGGGTGTTTGCATTGCATGCGGCCAACCTGGGTTCAGTCCCTGAGTGCAGAGCCAGGAGTGAGCCCTGGATACCGCTTGTGGTCCCAGCATAGACAAATGAAAAGTCACCTGTTTGTTGAGTGGACAGGAGTCCAGAGTGCGTGTTGAATCTGGGTGAGGGTGGGCAGAACAAGTGTCTTCCTCAGTGCAGCGGTGTTGAGGGCAAAGCGGTTAGGGATGTGGGGGGTGGGGCTGGGCCTGAGCAAGACCAGTGTGGGTGCAGGGCGTGACGCCGGGCAGAAGGCAGCCATGTGCCTGGAGGGACTCTTCCCTGCGCTGGCCCGGGTAACTGGGGGGACTGTAAAGGGCCTCCCCTGCTGGCACTGCAGCTCCAGGACCGGCAGCACTTTGTGGAGAACGACGAGATGTACTCCATCCAGGACCTGCTGGACGCTCACACTGGCCGCCTGGGCTGCTCGCTCACAGAGACCCACACGCTCTTCGCCAAGCACATCAAGCTGGACTGTGAGGTGGGGAGCTTGTGTTCCCGGCCTGTGGCCAGGGACACGTAAGCAGTTCTTCCTATTGGTCAGCCTCTGTGCCCCGGGGAGCAGGTGCTCACTGCCCTCCCTGTTGTCCTCAGCGGTGCCAGGCCAAAGGCTTCGTGTGTGAGCTTTGCAGAGAGGGGGACGTGCTGTTCCCCTTCGACAGCCACACATCGGTGTGCACAGACTGCTCTGCTGTCTTCCACAGGTCAGCCATGGAGGGGGCTGGGGAGAGTAGGGAGGATGGGGCTGGGAAGGAGGAGGGAGGGGGAGGGCGCAGGAGGGGGAGGGGGAGGAAAGAGAAGGAAGGAAGCAGGGGATGGAGGGGGGATGGTGGGGGAGGTCGGAGAGAGGGAAAAAGCAGGGGACAGTAGGAGGATGGGGCAGGGAGGGGAGGGAATGGGGACGAGGGGAAGCTTGGGGAGAGAGGAGGGAGGGAGCTCTGGTGACCTGATGGCCTGCACAGTCCTCTCATTCCCCCTTCCAAGACAGGGAGCTCACAGCTGGGGGGCTGCCCTCAGGGCTGCCATAGCCTTGTATCTTCAACTTCCTAGTTCCTGGAAATAGAGTCTTGGCTGGTTTAATTTTCAAGCATCTAGAGGCCAGAGTGTCTAAGTGCTTACGGTGAAACTTCTGTCTTCGTATCCTGAAGAGTTAGGGAAAATTGGAAAATACAGGATACACAAAGCATTTTGGTTTGGTCTTTGGGCCATACCCAGCAGTGCTCTGGGCTGACTCCTGATGGAAGTCAGAACCCTGTGGGCTGCCAGGGTTGAACCCAGATGAGCTGCCTGCAAAGCAAGCACTTTACTTGCTGTGCTATCGGTCCGGTCTGATTCAGCTCTTCCCTGAGCAGTTGCTAGGGCCAGGCATGGGTGTGCCAGCTCCCAGAACCTCACACAGACTCGGACAGCCCTTTCCTGTGCCTGCAGCTCTGTCCACTCATGGCAGCCCTTGTCCGCTAAGACCATCCCAAAGCCTAGCCACAGAGCAGTGTTGAGAGGGGCTCCGCCTCACTGACAGGCATGAGACTGCTGCTCCCTTTTCAAAAGCAAACCAACCCCTGCACCCCACAGTGATACAGAATCGCATGCAAAGTGCCGAGCAAAGCTGTCCTGGCATGCGGTAGTGGGGGACAGGTCTTGCAGGGGTCCCCGGCCTGGCCCCTGGGCTCCTTTGGAAGAAACTCACTCCGGTTTCCCCGCACACAGGGACTGCTACTATGACAACTCCACCACGTGCCCTAAGTGCGCCCGGATCACGCTGCGGAAGCAGTCACTCTTCCAGGAGACGTGCCCAGAGGTGGACGCCTAGAACCACCCTCCCAGGTCCATACGGCACCTGCTCCATAGTCAATGCCAAAGTCCAGGTGTTCCCAGCTCTCTGGAGAGAGACCCCATTCTCTAGTGCCAGGAATGGGGTTGTCTGGGCGCTCGCTGGGACTCAGGCCATGCTGAGTGCCTCCTGTGACAGAGGGGAATGGGGCGGGCTTCTCGTCTCATGAGGACACTGCACAGCCCTGGCATCCCCAGGGCAACTCTGCACAGTGGCCATCAGGACCCCCAGGACCTAAGTGTGTCTGGGTGAGGATTATGGGTTCTCCCTGGGGGCCACCATCACCCTGGCTGTGTCTCTGTGGGAACTTGTGGCTCTCTCCAGGGAGGGGCCCAGCCAGAGGTAGGTTCCAGGAGGATGGCACGGACCCATTATTTCCAGGGACCATACTGTCCCCAGAAGCTGTATCCTGCTGGCCCAGCACTGCAGGGGCTCCAGAATTTGTGAGGGGCCTTCGGCCTGGGGCCCCAGGTCAGGAGCTGCAAATGTTTTCAAGAGAGCACATTGCACCCCGGGCAGGAAGCCCAGTTTAGTTCCTAAACTGGGAAGTGAGGGTCCTGCACTCTGATTGGAAAGGGGGCCCTGGATGGACCATGGAGGTTGTGACCCATCTCTCTTCACAGACATCTCAGGGCCCACGTGTGGTCTCCTGCCCCCTGGCAGCTCTGCTCGCCTGCACTGTGCTCGGCTGGGCTGCCCATGCAGGTGGTCAGCACACAGATGGGGCGACGGGATGCAGCTGCTGCAGTCACAGGTCTCTGAGCAGAGCCCAGGGCCAAGGTCAGGTCAGCCCACCGGCTCACATGAGGGAAGCCTCAGGACAGCGTTGCCAGGAAGACCACTCGTGTGGCTCAGGCCACCCTTCTGACCATCCATCCTGACCTGTTGCAACAGGGGACAATGCGCAGCAGATGTGGGGGGGCGGGGTGAGGTCCATTCAGCAGATGGCCCTACCTGCTTTCCAGCCTGCCCCTACCTCTTCCCCCAAACCTGTCCCACCTCCCAGTCTGGGACAGTCCTTAGTCACACAGGCTCAGAGCCCACAGTACAGCAGCTAGAAGCATCTTGGCCAGCCCCGCACCAAGCATTGGGGCATCTGCCCTGATGCCCATTTCAGCACTGCACCCATTAAATACCTATACTCTGGACCGTGTGTGTGGTGAGTTGGGAGGTCAGGAAGCTCCCCTTCTGCCAGGGTGGAATGGAACCTGGTATGAGGCAAAGTAGGTACTTTTTTTATTAGTGTCATGGGGGCAAGGGCAGTGCTTAGAGGGGTGGGGAGGGGATTTAGGGGGCCAGGGCCACTGTTCTCCAGGGGGCTTTGTGCCAGGCACATGAGCACTTGAGCAACTTCCCTGACCACCTTTCTGAGGGTGGGGGCTTCAGCCTCCTTCCTCATGAGGGCTCAGGAAGTAGGGTACAGAGCCTGCCACAAGAAGCCTCTCCATCCAGTTTCCTCCCACTCTTCTCAAGGGAGAAGGATAATCTCAAGAGCCCAAGGTCAGTGACAAAATCAGGCTGATCATGCAAATCCTGCTCCAGATTCTGGGAACCTTTTATGCTCTGCACCTGACCCCTCACCGCAGCTCCAGGTAACCCCATCACCCTGGGACTCAGGAGAATTGTGCCTCTTATCCAAGCCACATCAGACACAGCTGCAGCTGTCTGTAGACCATGAGGGGCCTAGGACACCAGGCGCCTCTGTTCCTGAAGCATCTCTGCTTATAGGTTCCCTGTGCGTCTCTGACTGTGCCTGAGGAACCAGAGCTCTGCTAGGCTCTGGCTCAAGGTGGCTAGTTGGGGGCACAGTGCTAGCAGACAGGACTGTACGTCCAACTGAAGCTCACTGCACCTGGGACATGAAACAGAAGGTACAACCCATTGTACCCTCGATCATATCAGGGTCTATTGCAAAAACTATTCATTTTCCATCCCCTGGTCTCCTAAGTGTCAGCATTTTGCCACTTTTCCTTCTTTTCTAGGGAGAGGGGTTGGGTGGGTTGAGCAGAACACCTGGCAGTGCTTAAAGGTCATTTCTGGCAGGGCTCCAGGGGTCACTATTGGGTGCCTGGAGTCAAACCGGGAGGACTTCGTGCAAGGCAAACACCTTACTTGGTGTATAACTATGTGCACCTGCCCACCTTTTTTGGGGGGGCACACTCAGGTGCTTGGGGGCAGTTTCTGGTTCTGTGCTCAGGAGTCACTCCTGGCTGTGCATGGGGGACCATATGTATGATCCCAGGGATTTAAACCAGGACTGGCAGGATGCAAAGCAAACATCTTAACCTCTCCAGCCCCCAACCCTTAACAGATTCTGCCCTCAGCTACCATGCTTCTGAGTCTTCTTTTATCTGGAAGGACGCTGGATATTGGCATTTAACATTTTTTAGGGTTTTTATTAAGCTATACTTAGCAGTGCTCAGAGATCACTGCCGGCGGGGCTCAGAAGGTCATACAGGGTGGTTGGGGTTTGAGCCCAAGTCAGCCTTGTGCAAGGCAAATACCCTACCCACCGTACTATCTCTGACCCCTAATCTTTTCAGATTTGATATTTAGTTTTAATTCATTACTTACAATTTTTTTTTAGTCCCCATGATCCTCAGAAATGTCAGTGACAGGATTTCATGCGTACAACATTCTGACACCACACCCCTTACCAGAGTGTCCATTCCCTTCCACCACCATCTCAGGGTAGTGTCCAAACCCCATGTCCGGACTACAGTAGGTTCAATTCTATAGACTGGTTCACAGACTGTTGCTTAGGGCCATTCGTTATTTCCTTGTTAGGCTTCTTTGTACCTCTCACCTGAAAGATCATTCTGTGTCTGTCCCTCTCCTGGCTGACTTCATTCAGCATCATCCTTCCTAGCTCCATCTACTTAGCAGCAAGTTGCACGACTGGGAGCAAAGAAATCTGATATTTTTTAAAAGCACAGAATAAGTATTCTGAAGCATGGCCATCATTTGGGTAGCATGGTTAGAACTGGGCTCTGTACTTTGTGGAGAGTTGGCAACAGTGACACCGTGTCTTCAGTGTGACTTGTGTGCCTGAAGGTGGTTAAGACCAAGGTCTGTCTTGTGATGAGCTCTGAAACTGTGAGTCAGTTTGGTTTTGCAATGCTAGGAATTAGACCCTGGTGACCACTGCCCAGTCCATACATCCTGTTGCTGACCCTCACACTCTCACCCGGTTCACTCTGCTGATGGTTCCTGCCTGATGCTCTTCTCGTTCATTCACTTCTGTACTTATTAGCAAGCTGTCTTTCAAATCAGTTTTTCTGCCTTCTCATTGACACAGAGCTTTTTTATTTCACGGTTATAATCCGGAACTAAGATTGTTCCAGCATCAGTAGTGTTGTGTGTTTTGTAGCGCTCACCCACTTTCTAGCACAGCAAAGCATTCCAGATTATGCTGTGCCTTCCCACACCCAGCCGGGAAGCCCAAGTGTCCTGGGGAGGGAGGGTGCCTTTTAGTGGGACAGGCATTTTGTAGGCAGGAGGCGGGCCCTTGCCCCCCTGCTGTCACTGCCCAGCTGCTTTCAGCACAGCTAGCTGTGTGTCTACTTCCTCACATATGTCTAACCCCACCCCCCCCCATTCACACTGATACTTTCTATTTCAAACTCCATAGGGTATATTCTTTCCCTTGTTCTTACTGCTCGTTCCCTTCAGTGGGGTCCCTGGTGCCACTGTCTGTGCATCATGGACTCAGCCCTGGAACATGTACCAAGAATTTCTTGCTGTCCTCTGCTTCTGAAGTCTACTTGCTGGGTTCATGTTGGCTTGTAGTTTGTATCTAGGCTGAGGGAAGAGCCAAGATAGGTGTTAAAAATTTAGATGGAGGGGCCAGAGAGATAGTAAAGCAGATAAGGCAATTTTCTTGCTGACATGGGTTTGATCTCCAGCATCCCTTATGGCTCCCAAGCAGAGTCAGGAGTGATCCCTGAATGCAGAGTCTGATGTAACCCTTAAGTATTGCCAGTATGCACCACCCCACCACAAAAAATAAAAAACACCCAATTCACATGAGAGTTACTTTCCCTTCATTGTGGGCAGTCCCTGTGAAGGAGGCTTTGTACATATACTCCACTGTATGCACTGTATGTGATGTCAAGGATTGCTCCCAGGACAGTACATGTGCAAGGCAAGAACTCACCCTTAGGCCACTGGTGGTGTTTTTGTTGTTGTTTTTTTAAAACTTATACTCTAGACCAGTTTTATTTCCAGGTCTCCCAAGAAGTGCTCGGGAGTTTCCTGGGCTGCGCCTGGAGATGCTTGGTGGACCATGTGGTGCTGGGATGGGAATGGGGCTGGCAGCACACAAGGCAGCACGTTAACCCTGCACTCTTTCTCTAGATCTGCAGCCCTTCATTTTATGTTTGGGTTCCCCCCTCGTTTATGCATTAATTTGTATATGTTATATTAAGGTTCCAAAAGTCAAGAGTCGGTGCTGGAGCAGTAGTACAGCGGGGAGAACATTTGCCTTGCACGTGGCTGACCCGGGTTCAACCCTCAGCATCCCATATGGTTCCCCAAGCACCACCAGAAGTAATTCCTGAGTGCAGAGTCTGAGCATTTTCCTGAGCAAGCAAAAACTAACAAACCAAAAGTCAAGAGTCTTACAAAAAGGAACAGCCAAGTGTTACCATAACAACTACTCTACTTTCCTTCTCTCAGTTTTTGGGTTGCAATTGTGGAACTCTGGGGCTATTCCTGGCTCTGCTTGGGAAGGATTGAACCTGGACCTCCTACATGCAAACATGTGTTCAGCTCATTGAACTCTCTGCCCCTTTTCCTGTGTTTCATGATGATCACGACCATCCTGTTGTTTGTCAATTGCCTCAAGCAGGCCCCAGTAATGTCTCCTTCATCGTAGCCCCGAGATTTTTTTTTTTTAAAGTGCCATATTCAAGGCTCTTCCAGGGTTAGGAGAATGAGACCCATCATTGTTACAGGTGTTTGACATATTGGGCACGCCACAGGGAGTTTGCCAGACTCTGCCGTGTGGGCAGGTTACATTCGGTAGCCTGCCAGTTTGTCCAAAGTAGGAATGAGATAATAAGATGTTGCGAATGCGGCCGCGCTTCCAGGAGCTGGGTTTTATAGTCTCTGAGTCTTGGCCGTTGATGGGATTACACGGTGCCAGGGGGCCAGTTGGTGGGTGTGACCCCTGCCTACTGGAATTTGGAGGATCTGGGTAGAG